TGATAGAACAGAGTTGCGTATTATGTTGATGGTACGTTTTCTTAACCACGAAGGGAGGTGTTCGCTAACTCGTTGTTTGATAGTACACCCAATATTAGCTTTCCCCATAAGAGCAGCTGAATTTGTAGATACACATAGATGTATCAACTTACACATTTCAAAGAACTTATATCATTCTAAAGTTAAGTGATATTAAATGTACTTGAGGAATAGTATTTTCTTTTCTCAATACTTAGATGACCTCAATATTACAGCATACATATTCCTGTCAGTTATAAATGATATTGTATACAAAGACTTTTTAATTATTTTTATGATTGATCATTGTCAGTTGAAATTTTGAGTTTAACAAACTGTCGGAAAAAAAGTGTGTTGAAACTAATTCACAATGATTAACTTTGAACTTGGTTTTTTCTTGAGAAATAAAATGATGAATTGGTCTACGACTGACATTATAGATTCTTGAGGGGGTAGTAATTGGCGTACGATCATACTTCTGATAACAACAAACATATGTGTTTTAAGTGATCTCTAATGTCATTCCAGGTATGACAGTGATTTTCACATTCACCCTGTTCAAACTATGAGAGGATGGATTTTTTGAGGTACCTAAAATGGAAATTATATTAGCGATGATCTTGACTACTTGAGAACGTGACCACAATGCCCAAAGAACAACTGATTGTGGCCTGTCACACTGATGTTTAATGAGTAATTTTTGATAAGTTAGTTCCATACGTTAAAGTCCTTACCACTAGTGAAAGAAGTTTACAAGATAATATGGGGTGTGTCACTTTAAGACCAGTCTTATTCGATTCCTTTCCTTCCATTGTGGGAAGGCAGTGTATCTCTAGATCCTATTTGTTTAAGGAAGACACATTATTATCGTCACACCCCTGTACAAATACCTTCACGAATAAACTATCAGGTGATGGGTTTATTGCTTTTTAACTTGATCATCTTTCACCTGACCTACATTGTGTGGTAAGATCTAAAAGAATATGTTCCATGTGGTGTTGTTTGATTAGATTATTGTGATATTCAGACCTGATTGCCAAGTTAAAGTAACATCCAACGTTAAGGTATAAGCCGATATCATTTATTTTAATACATAATTTACTACGTATATTGTACGTTCAGATAAAAATGTAATACTATATCCACATAAATAAGTAACCAGTAAAGGTAGTTATCTTTGTGTAGAAAAAGAATTACTATTGTAATAGACGCTACTATCAAGGTTGTTTGTAAGTTATGTGTAAGAGAACGTGGCGTCAAAGTTGCAACACTTATCGTACGGATTAAAGAGTATCAGTGCATCGAAAGTACGGCTTTGATAGAACATTTAGATATCAGTCGAGAAGATAGTCTAGATTGCAGAATGGATCGAAAGTTATTAATGAATGAAACTACTTGAAATTCGGTCTATTTAGCTCAAATTTAGTCCTCATGTCACTTCTACGTCCATATAAATGTAAATAAGTCAAATAAATTTGTTACTGTATTGTTACACAGTGGATAAACAACGTGGATTGCTACATTAATTTATTCATTGAGATCATGAACCTATCAATGTTAGATCAAGCATTAAAAACCTGGAAGTAATGATGGTCTAATATTGATCAGTTCATCATCTTAATAAAAACTTAGCAATCTCCATAACTTATTAAATTTACTGATTGTCTGAACTTTATACGTTGTTGAATATGTGGTAGTATCATTTAAAGCAATAGGTTATGAGTTCAAACTGCCTTATGGGCATCAATTTTTGAATGATAGTAAATTAGTTCAATTGATGATTTTCAATCAGGACTATATTTGTTATAACTTGTGACCGTCAATTAGGGAGTAGTGAATTATAGACCGAACCAATCACGCGTAAAACACGTGTGAGGAGTCTAGAGTCCTGATTGGTCCTGTTTTCCGCCTAGCTCAGCCGGTTAAGTCCAGAACACCAATCTCATCCTCTGCAATATGAATCATTTATTTCAAACATACGGGGTTTATATACCAATCAAACAGACCACAACGTACCAATAAAATAGAAAACAACATTTGTATAAGATCTAGCACAAAAATGGCTGTTAATGTGAGAGACTGTAATTGACAGACTGGGCATAACTCAAGAATGGTAAATCGTACAATAATAGTTCATAGGTCAAAATGAAGCTCATAATAAGTGAGACATGAATATGTATAGCTTAGTTACTTAACAGTCCTATGATAAAAATATACGCATACTACTGGTCCATAAATGGATCTCAAAAATTACCGCTCATTGTTATTCTTATCGGGACATAACAATGTAGTGAACAAGAACATCAGTGGGGACAATCGAATGTGTTTAACACAAAATTACAGGACTTGTTAATAAAATCTAACAATCAAATAGTGAATGGTCAATTTGCAAAATGTCCACCCATTGTCTCAAAATGACCCAGACTTCATTGTTCTTGCATTTTCATACAAATTGCATCCTATTCCATTTTATACTGTTCGATCCTCTTGTTTCTCTGCTGCCAGACCTTCTGTTCACAACTAACATGATATACTACTTAAGTCAATATAAGTAGCACACACCACAACAATAGTATACCACTAGGATTCTAACATTAATCACAATTCAACTTGGTTAATAATTCCCAGAATTTTCATATTTCTCATTATAAACAGAAATAATTCATATTTGAAGCCATGATATGAATAGAAACTTTAAAAAAAAATTAGAATGTTTCCGTGACCTGATACAAATCTGATTGACATTGGTATACTATAAGATACACACAAAAAAAACTACATGATGAACTTTATTTTAATAATAATAATAATAATAATAACAACAGCGGACTAAGTAGTAATGTAAATTGTTTCCAATACTCATTGACTAAGTAAATTTAGTTAGTTGGTTCACTTTTGTATCTCTCTTATCCACTTACCTACTCACTCCCTCTCTCACTCTCTCTTTCAATACTACGTTCCTTAAATGTATTATTAACAAAGATACATGTATTATTATATACATTATTAAATAATTCAATCTGTATAATAATGTGGTCGATTGAAAAAAAATGTTATAATCCATGAAACATTGAGTAGGATATGTTGAATCAGGTCATTGACTAACTGATGACTATTGATAAACAATATAAACTTGTTATGATTTTCCAAGTTTTTTTGTTTGTTTGTTCTTGTTGTTGTTATTGTTGTTGTTGATGATCCATTTTAATTTTCATCATAAATCAATCATGTGTAATGTAAAGGATGTGATATATGTTTTTAAGTTTGTAGCGCAATTCCCTTTCCATGTTTAATGTATATATGATATCTAGGATTTTTCTATTTATTTAAAGAGTGTAGCATGTTTACAGTAAGACTATAGGTTTTACACAAGACTTTATTTCATGATTGAACTTAGGTTTTTACATCCGGCAAGTTGTGATGGGCTTCAGTAGGCTGTTAACCGAAAACATATATAGATATTTTATTGAAATCACGAGTTGACCAAAGTTAGATAAACATTGAAAATCTAGAAGCTCTAGGCAACCGTTTCTTTCTACTTTAGGATTTCACAGAAGTGCTCATCAACTACTTTGTATTCAAGAATCGAATGCAGGATCTACGATCTCGCGCATTAGTAAAGATTACGCCCTCATCTGCAACAATGATACACTAAATGGACGGTAAACTGGTCGAAAATATTCAATATCACGCTTTTATTAAACATTGAAAAAGCATGTTTATCTCCACACAAAGTGTAGTGATCGCTTAGTAGCCAAATCATTTTTATTTTTTGGGGTTGTTACTACTCACATATAACATTTCAATATAATTAAGTAATATATAGCTCATAAGTGAATAAATATGTCAGACACTTGAAGATAACATTCTAATTTGTATTTGTAAGCCTTGGATAGTGAATCAAACATTTCTCCACAGATTGGTTTTGAACGTATGCTCTATTATCTACGTTCTCGTGATACGTGGTCAGCTTATTTACTGAGCACGTAAATTAGGCTTTACCAGTATCAATACGTTCACTAGAGTTTTATCATGAAAAAACAATTTTTGATTGATGACTGATGAATATCACCAGAGGGTAATAAAGATCACAATGGCGTAGGCGTATACATTCTCTTTGTCTTCCATTAAAATAAGAGATTAAAATCACTTCATATCTTTCTTTCTATGAACTAATTCTTTCTTCCTGTACTATATCCTTATATGCAATCTTTCTTTTATCTATTTCCACCACTGACTTAACCACTCCTATGAATCCGGTGTTCATCTTGCTGTGCTAATGCGGTATGGCAACTTGGACCGATGCATATATGTGCCTGGTCCTACGTTGTAGCTGACTGACTGACTGAATAAAGATTAAATTATAATTTAACGAGTACAACATTGAGGAGCGAATGAGTAATAATTCGTAAAGTGACAAAGCATGTGTCTAATTTATGTTCTGAAGATCTCCATATATGTTTCGAAAAATGGAAACGGAGATAAGAATATAACTACAAAAGAAACGTATTTTAAAAGCAATAAGGCTGATGTGTGCTTAACCTTATGAAATGTATTTTTATAACTTCAATTTGAATATTTATTAAACAGATTAATTACATGTTGGATGCCGGCTCATTGGTCTAGATTTTAGGCATTCGCACGCGAGACCGACGTTCCTGAGCTCTGTTCCTGGGTTTAGAGTCGCTGATGAGCACTGCTGAGGAGTCCTGTACTAGGAGCAAACGACCATTCAATACTTCCAGGTCCTAATTAGTTATTTAATTAAGGTCAGTTCGTGATTAGAACGGCGAGAACTATACAATCCCCATAAATCTGCCTATACATTGATGACAATCCATTATAAGTAAATAGACCAAAGTTGGAGCATGAATCAAATTTATCAACCATATATAAATTCGTTTATAACAAATAATGACTTCCTCAAGAGTATTACAGACTGTTATGAAATTTTTGTTTTTATTTGACCTTCCTACATTCAGGGTCGTCTGTAGATACCAAGACAATATCTGTAGATTGGTTGTCAATGATTTATATGCTCGCTTATATCCCATTGATATTTCCTTCTAATTGGATACTGAATAGATGGGGCCTGCGTGTAACTCTGCTAGTTGCTTCAGCATTGAATGCAGTCGGTGGTTGTATTAAATGTATAGCGGGTGCAGTTACGTATGAAACAACGTTTGGACAGTCTAATAAATCTATTCCATTCAGTAATAAACTTGGTTTTCCAATACTTATGGCTGGACAAACTATTTGTGGAATAGCTCAATCCGGTATATTGGGTATACCAGCCCACTTAGCAGCAGTTTGGTTTGGAGTAAATGAAGTTTCAACGGCTACTGCACTTGGTGTATTCGGGAATCAAGTAAGTTTGTATTGTCTACACTGTTTTTTTCACCGTTGATTGATATTAGGCTATATAATTGATCAGTCTCGACCGAAATATGTGGATTCTGAACGAATTAACTTAATGTTATCATCTAATTACATGTTTCCAATAGAACTCGGTATAGATAAACTATCTTTTTATATAAATCACAGTTACAACAAATTGTAAGTATTTAATATCACTTGATTAGAATGTATTAATTATTAGAAATTATTTACTCTTAGGTGGTAGATGTGTATTTTACAGTTAAATGAAATAAGATGATAAGTAATTGATTAAAAATTATTACAGTTATTTTTCAATATCACATATTAACATTGTATTCAAAGATGGATAGTATCTAGCAATGGAATTCAGGATGTGGGCCACTTCGTCCTATTTGGGGCTCGTCAGCTGGATGTACCCGCACCTTAGTGTTTATGTTCACTCTGGAACTCGAACTCAGTACCATTCACTTCAAACGCCATCGCATTGTCCACTTATCTACTGAGTCCTGATAGCCGCTTGCTTGTACAATGGAGTGAAGTTTAAATTCACTCGGCATCATTTGTTTGCTACCATTCATTTTTGCATATAATGCTTGTGAATTAAGGCTATATCGAGGCAATCCACATAGGATATATTTAATATATAATGCATATATTTAATATGTGCCTAGTAGTTAAATCCAGGATTCACTATACCATTCTATCCGAGACCTTTTGCTTTGGTGTACCAGCATTTGAATGTTGATGTATAGACCAATAATTGAGCTCGGTATTTGTTGCCCCTAAACGTCTAACGCGTTGTCCACTAAATTTATTAGAAAAACAAGAAGTTACAAACCCTTTCTAATATTTTCATACATGTTGAATAGGTTGATAGCTATTTGAAATGACTAGTTGACTGTTGGGTGTCCGATACTAAACGACCTGGGTTCGAATCCCAGTGTGAATAACTATGGTGGGGTGAGGAGAAAATGTAATTAATGAGTCCCAAACAGAATGTAATGCGCATCCTTTACTCAGGACTGATATTTTGTCTTGTTTGAGATTTATCAGATGGATCTTTTCGTATCTCATTGTTCCTGTTTACTATGAAATTGTAAAGCAGTGCTTATTGCTTCAAACAATAATGCTCTGTCTATAGAACTGCGAAGTCCAGATCTACAATAGCTTATACTTTGAGTGCGAATTTTATTCTTTTAAGTTTTTATTAGCTTCTGAACTGCAATTAATCAATTGCTTTTATGATGTGAAGTCATTACGTTCATCGAATAGGATGGAGATTGTGGTCATTTTTCAGCTCTAATTTTAAACAAAAGTAATAAATCTTTTCAAAAAATGATACACTATGCCAATCAAATGATACGTGCATCTGATTGCCTGAGAGATGACTTTTATCTCTAAGTGACATGACATGAATAACTGATTGGTTTAATTTCATAAGGGATATATATATATACAGCTTATCTGTAGAAAGAGTGTGTATCTGTATCAAGTCTTAGAAACTATGTATCACTGCACAATATTAAAAAAACTCATTTTTCTGTACCTTACTGATTAAACATCTCTTACAAAAGATTTTTGACAGTTGAGATCATGAGTCGATTGAAGTTAGACCACCACGAAAATCTGAAAGCACTGGATGGCCGTTTCGTCCTCGGATGGGACTCCTTGGCAGTGCGCATCCACGACCCCGCCTCACGAGATTCGAACCCAGGACCTATAAGTCTCGCGCGCGAGCGCTTAACCTCTAGTCTACTGAGCCGGTAGGCCTCCAACGGTGTTAATATCTAACTTTAACTAATCCATGAAATTAAACGGCACATCCATCATTGTCTTCAGTGTATTACTATTTCACAACAGATACGGTTAAACTATACTGGTCACTGCTTCTCACTCGAATTCCAGGAAATACTGTAGTGTCAGTTATTATATTAAGCCCATATACCTTATTCTAGCTTTCGGACATCCCATTCCATTCATTCTACCTGAGCCATACTTTGACCTTGTTATTTATTCGCTTATCAATCTAGAGTGTTTTTATATGAGCGTATATGTGTGTGCCCTTCTTATCCCATTATTCACATGTCTGTAGCTTTATTTTGTCTGACTATAAATATTGAGTAACGCTTGACTAAAATGGAGTTGGCTTCCCGGCCATCTTCCCTGCGTGTCATTTTGCTTTGCTCTGTTTCATTCGCTTCATATACGAAATATATGTATACACAGGTCAATTCTCGTTATTTGATTCCGTTATTGACTAACGCGGTTTAAGTCGACAATTATATACAAGAATAAGCGATAGCAAACATCCATACTATCTAATTGGAGTCAGATCCACGGGCCACTAAAATACCTCTTGAAGCCAGTCACTAATGATCATATGTTGATTAGTATCAGAAGGGGTTTTTATAGACAAATATAATTTCTTAACCTGTTATTGTAAAGTTTCTATTACTGACAGTAAATTTTGTTAGTTGTACATGTGTGTTTTTGTGTGTAAATATGCGTATTCTGATGTTACTGTATTACCCATTAATATTTTTATAGAATTTAATACATTATACCTCTATGACATTGAGACCTAAATTTTGATCAGTCTGTTGACATTTGTATATCTTGTATAGATTACTTTATCATATCCATGTTATTACAAGTTTCATATTCCATAGATGGAACCTAGTTAACAGTTACATGTAATTAGACCTAAATTAAATGAAACACTTGGAATAAACTCCATCATTAGCCATAAAAATGTCACCTGTTCTATAACCATTGTTCATTGTTCATTTGACTAATTGTATAGAATTATTCTTTTCATTATTTATTATTGTTCTAGCTTGGTGTTGCATTTGGTTTTCTAGTACCACCACTTATTTTACCATCGATACCGTATAGTTCAAATGGAACTAATCAAATTGATCCAACAACAGATATGAATGAATTATTCAATAAAATTAAACACTATATGATGATTATGCTGTATTTTAGTGCTGCTTTAAATATTCTTCCATTTATATTTGTATTGTTTGGTAAGTTGTCGAATATAATTCACTGCATAATTTTCAAGTTTCTGTTATAAACCGTTAACATGATCAAGATCTATTAAAGTACAAACCGTTACCCATCATATTATATGGTTTGAAACATCTCGTAGGGAAATTTGATCAGTATTTAACATTGTTTGATGAACAATCTTGGAGTAACCTATGCCTCTGTGATATTTGGACTGACATTCACAATTGATTGATCACTGGGTGGTGATCAATGTCATGCTGGTCTAGTCCTTATTGGTGCAGATCGAATGCTATCGATCATGTTGCAATGTAGCCACCAGTCTAGGTGACTCGACACTGTGGGCACTATGTATTGAGATTTAGATGGTAGTTGGAGGTAGTCAACAGGAAACCCTGGACCCGGGTTTCGTGCTACTTGGCACTCGTCAGCAAGGTGTACCTGTAATCTTGAGGGAGCTGGTGCTCCCTGGCGGACTGACATTACATAATGTTACTGTTCAATGCATTGACATTGAATTATTTCGAAAACGACTGATTTCTTCTAGAATTGAGATTGACAGAATACCACCAGTATTGTTTTAGTTATAGGTTGGATATATAGTTTAAGTTATACTTGACTGACAACTGATTGACTTAGTTCGCTGTCGATAAAGGGTTATAAAATATTTACTTTCTCTCTGTCTCGCTCACATTGGTTTGGTTCAACTTGTTTTGAACTGAAAAATGATTGAATGAGCAATTAATTTCCAGTTTTCAATTTTTTGGTGAATTTTCATTCTTTGAGTTGGACGGTCTAATAATGGAGCTTCTATTGCTTCAAGAAAAAGTGAGACAATCAAAATAGATGTCTAGACAATTACAGGCTAAAGGTCAACGCTGACCAATCAAGATGACAGGAGAACTTGTCAACTTATACATGGAGAAATTCTAATACCTCAATTCTACTTGAAATTTATGCTGATGATAATGTTCAAAAGAACAATGAAAGCTTTATGATTAAGTCATTCGGCTTACAGAAAAAAATCCCACCCACAAATCTTTTCTACTGTTTCAGTTTTTTAACATTAATGTAATATGAGTTCAATTTGGAAGCTGGGACGATGCCAATGATTTATATTGTGAACAATCATAATTGAACATTATTGTTAAACGAACATGTCAGTTTTTTCAACTTTTATACAGTTGTATAAAATCATGAACTTGATTTTTAAAAAACTTATTAAAAACCTAGTGGTTGAATTCATGAGTCAATTGAAGCTAGACATCACCATGACAAACCGAAAAAGCACTGGACGGTCATTTCGTCCTGGTATGGGACTCCTCAGTAGTTCACACCCACGACCCCACCTAGTGAGATTTGAAGCCTGGATCTATCAGTCTTGTGCGAGAACACTTAAACTCTAGACTGATAGGTCCGGGGTTTTGATTTGATTTTGATACTCAGAACTATGAAAGGATTCATTTCTAAAACAATTTTTTTATCGAATTATATATTATTTGTATAAGACTTTAAAATCTGGATCATCTAATTGATCTCTATTTTGTTTTCAATATGACATTGATAAGTCAGAAAAAATGTTTGATTGAGAGGTTTATTGAAATTAATAACAGTTAAAGTTTAGTTTTTTTATGGATAGATGGTGATTGAAAAGCTATTGAGTACACTAGAATGCATAGTGAACATTATTTTTTGTCATAGTATGGATCTTTTTAACATTAGACACTTTTATTTGACTCCAATCAGATCATTTGATGATTGAGTGACAGATTGTTAATGAAATATACATCCTAGCTACCCTTGCTTAGAATAATTGACTTAAATCACTTTAGTGAATAACGGAATTACATAAGTCACATATGAGAATGAAGTTTGAATCCGTATATTTCACACAATCGTTGATTCAGACAGACAATCAGAAAAAACAAAGTGAAGATAGTGAAGAGAATAGATGGGAACGAAACGAATCGGAAAAGGTATGTTAGCCAACTTCATTTGATAAAGTGTTACTCAATATTTACATTCAGATAAAAATAGATTACATACACGTGATGAAGAGGGTAAGCAATTAACAGACGATCATATAAAAACAGTTAGGGTTAAATAATCGAATAAGTGACAGTGTAAAAATATTGAGGACGTTAGATCTCCAGAACTCACTTGGGAGAGAACCTAATTTTGTAATTTTATTTAGAAAATTCGAATTTCTTTATTTTCGCGCCAAAGGCGATCTTGTCACCTTCATGTCGTATTTCCCAGTGGGAAAATATCTTAAATTCTATTGGTCCGTTGCGTCTCTTAGTATGCTATTTGGTAACTCTTCCCAAGGACGGTTTTGTACTGTATATATACGTCCTGAATTGTGTTTATTTTTATCGCTCGTTTCTGGCTGTTTGCAGAGATACTTCCCTATTCCAAGCTTGAACTTCTCCCTCTAGTTAGAGGGGCTGGAACGCATCAATAGCTAGTTGACTGGTCTTTGGTCACCGAGTCTTGTTCTCGCTCGCAGATCAAGTGAACTCGTGATAGCTTCACACCTATTAAAAAATGTGGCTTGTAACGAATGCAAAGATGAGTGGTCTGTCCAGTGGCTAGAATGACCTAAATGGGCTTGATATAGTACCAGCCCTCACAACACTTACAATACAGACAGTCCTTAAACCTAGAGTATTTAGATTTCGCGTCATGTACTTAAGCTGTAGAGTATAATGCTGAAATTTTCAGTACACCATGAAGTCATCTAATCCCATAAGATTCTGAATAAAATCTAACACAAAAACATACAAATCGTCTAAACTATATGCTACTACCAAATGTTAACTAAAAATACCAATTGATTGGAAACAGTTACTAAGATCACTTAAGTCTAACTATTATGGTAGTTATCAATCGACATTATATTCATTCTTGATAAAATATCATCACCTAATGTCATATTCACTGATGTTACCATTGGACTTTTTAGGTAGAATATTTTTCACTAAGTAGAAACTATCAATCATTGTTTTCTTAGTTTATATCATGAACCGATGTTTAGAGACCTTGAATGGAATGGCTAAAAATCGTTTGCAATAGCGCAAGTGCATTCACTTTTTGTGTTCTCCCAAATTCTAATCTTCTGAATTCTTCATGTCCCTTTTTTTTCTTTTTCCAAATTTATTTCACTGGATTATACTTCTTGAATAACATCTTCAAACCCTCATCATTCCGATTACTGCTTATACTTTAACTATTTCTACCACGACAATTGTATCTGTGTGCTAATGTCGTATGCCAACTCGAACTGATGTACGTACGTACAAAGTTCTATGTTGTTACTGACTAACTTATATCATGAACTGTTCTTAGTTAGATAACTACTGAAAACTAAATATCCCTGGAAAATTGTTTAAAATATGCATTCATCTTAGAAAAATATGACAATTCATCAATTAAAATTGATAGGAATCAGAATAACATCCTCACCTATTAATCAAGTTTAAATAGTTAATTGGTGATGTCTACATAAAGGTGAATGATATAGAGTTTAATAGAAATAAACGGTAGATGATAATATGATCAGCCAACTTGTTTATGACAAAATGAGAATACACATAAGCTTTGTCGAAACACTAAGACAAAGTCGGGATATTGTAATTTGATCAATAGAATCTAATTATTATTAAATGACTAGACAAACAATAATATTAATCACTACACAATAGTCAATCACAGTGTGAAATACTTCAAGTCAGTTGGGTCATGGACACTGTTTGTATATTAAACCAGTATATTTGAACTACATGATTCTTATCACAGAGGCTGAGATTGGTGTTCTGGACTCAACAGGCAAGGTTAAGCAGGAGGAAGGACAAATAAAGTCTCTAGACTGCTCGTACAAGCTTTATACGTCATTGATCCGGTTGGTAAATCACTGTTCTGTGATTGGCTGTATCATTACATTATATATTGATAGGAGCAACAGGGTCACAAGTTATGACAGACACTCCAATAGTAATATCTCTGAGTGTGTATCTGAATAATACAGGTTCGGGCGTCAAATAGCACAAAACTTAGATCCAGAAGAGAATCCTTCTAAATACTTACAAACACCTAATGAACATATCTTTTATGAGTGACATAATTTAAACATTGGAAACTTATATAATCATACATTTTTATTTAAGTTAATTAATTCATTAAATGATTTAGTTCAATTAAGGAGTTAATTGAATTTTATTGTTTTATAATCGATTCTGATTTCTGGACATGTAGGCAATCCACTTCATGTCATTCACTGAAATATTAATTTGTTATCTTAAAAAACCTATAATGTATTCATATTTCTTAATAAAGAGTTCAAATTACTGAACCCAATTGTTTTCCAATGAATACAATATTTCAATAGTTGAGATAATGAGTTAATTGAAGCTAGACCATCATGGAAAACCTAGAAGTACCGGACGGCCGCTTCGTCGTATTATGGGGATCCTCAGCAGTGCGCATCCATGACCTTGCCTCACAGGATACAAACCCAGGACATATCAGTCTCGTGCGCGAGCGCTTAACCTCTAGACCACTGAGCCGGTCGGCTTCCAGCCGTGTTAATGTCTAACTTCAACCAATCCACGAAATTGAGCGGTACATACAATATTAATAATTAAAAATTCAGTAATCTATATTACGTTCTAAAAGATGGTGAATGTGAAATCTTTATTCTTAAACAGTTCTCTCAAGAGAATAAAACAACAATTCTTTGGCATTATATTTGGAATAAACAGCGAGACTATAATTTCTGAACAAACCAATCAGAGATAAGATAACAGGTCTAGGATTTAGGCTCAAAATTCACTCATCCAATTGGATAAGTTGAGTTTTAGCATTATAGATGATGTCAGTTCGTGATGAAAACTGCAAATATAATTCTTAACATCAATCATCAACTGTTAATCATTATTGTAATCCCTCACATTGGTTTATAATCGTCATTTGGTCCTAGTTATTAGGTATACACTCTGAAGGTCACTTTAGCGTCGCTCAAAGGTCGTCCACAAATGATAGTCTCACCGAATAAACTTTGATTTGTTATGAATTAATTATTAATCGTTTGAATTCAATTTTATCTTTTATTCAATTCTATTAAGGTTTTCGTGCAAAACCTAAAACTGAACCAAGTTTAGCACAATATAAACGTAGTGGTTCATCGGTTATTCATAAATTACATATAAATGACCAATTATCCATTGATAACAAACCTTCAAATGGAATTCATTCAATAGTCACTAATAATGGTCTACACGAAAAGAAAAACAATATTGATAAAGGTAATATATTGTTGTTGTTATATCCTGATGATGAGAATAATAAATGGTAACTTTTAGGATCCATTTATGAACTAATACTGTACATATAGATTTATTGTATAAGTGTTAAGTAAGTAAACTGTCAATATTCATGTCCCTCTTATCATAAGCTTTATTTTGACCTATGAACTATTATTATACGATTTACCATTCTTGAGTTATGCCCAGTTTGTCAATTCCAGTCTCCCGCATTCACAGCCACTTTTGAAATATAATGATTCATATCGCGGAGGCTGAGATTGGTATTCTGGACTCTTACAGACAGGCATAGCTAGGCAGGAAGAAGGATCGATAAGGACTCTAGACTGCTAGTACGGGTTTATACGTCATTGGATCGGTCGATAAGTCACTGTTCCCGAATAGGCGTTATCATTACGTTATACATTGATAAGGTCAGAAACCCACAAGTTATAACAGTTTTCATGAAATGACTGTAAATCTCTTGTTTTCTTTTTAAATATTTTTCCTAGAATTCTATACAAAATCATTAGACGCTGATCAACAATATCCAGCGATTAGTCCAAATGAACATTCAATATCATCAACAAAACAGGATACCCTAAATACAAATAATTCAATAATGAATAATTTTATTATCAATATTGATGATAAAAATGATATCAGTAGTATAGATAATTATTCATATCAATCATTACAAAATAATCCTAGAAATGAAACTATTTCAATGGCATTAAAACGTTTGTTTAAAAATACTCCATTCATTTTATTGTTTATTAGTTATGGTAAGTATATTTGAAGTTTATTTTGTTTTTAATATGACCATATTTAGTACATAACATGATTATCGTAAACTTAATCCTTATGTTATGATTCAATCAAGAGGAGGGGGTACCTGAAAAGAAAACTGGATCAGAGGTGATCTTAGTGACCTGAGAGCGTGACCGCAATGCCCAAGGGTTAACTGCTTGAGGTCGGTCGCACACGACCTTTTTATGAGTAATTTTTGTGTTAGCTCCGTACTTGTTGAGACCTTACTGCAGGAGACGGGATAAGGCGAGGTGTGTATTTTTAGAGTCGACCTTTTCTAACCCCAGCCCTCCTTGTGGGAAGGCAGCATCGCTGTCATACTGGTTGTCTGAAGGAAACACCTTACTGTTGTCACACCTCTGTACAGTCAGCAGTACGACTTCGCCTTCAGACCTTAGGTTTGTTGCTTTTAGTCTTACCGCTCTTCAACCGACCTGTCTGACATGGTAGAACCTTGAGGAATGGTTGTTCCAGCCAGTAAAGCTCGGTTGCTTCATCACGATAGGAAAGTCCGACTACCACGTCTGGGTAGCAACAACGGTCGGGTTATGTTATGATTTCTATTTATGGAATGTTTGAAATGGTTTCTCAAATTAAGAATGGTAAACTTTTAAAGGTGTAGATTGAATAAACAACTATGGGATGATTCAAATCAACAATACTAAGTAAAAATTTCAACTTCATCCCATTACACAAACAAGTGATTATCAGGATTCAGTAGCTAAGTGGATGACGCAATGGTATTTTAAATCAACTGTACTGGGTTTAAGTCTTAGAATGAACATCAATTCTGAGACGTAGTTACATTCAACTGATGAGTTCCAAATAGGACGAAGTAGCGTGCGTCCTGGATTCCACTGCTAGCCACCATCTATCTTTGCTTAGAATGCTTGTGAATTAAGGCTATATCGAGGCAATCCACATAGGATGCACATATGTCAATAAGAGACTGATCAATTACAGTCCTAAACATCAATGAGAAGATTCAAACCAACAAAACCAAATGAATTTAAGAAAATATTTTTTTTCAATTTTTGATTGAGATCATGAAACGATTGATGTTAGAACACCACCTGGAAGCACTGGACGGCCATTTCGTCCTATTGTGGAACTCCTTAGAAGTGCTCGTCCACGATTCTGCTATGGGGATTCGAACCCAGGGCCTTCATTCTCGCGCGCGTACGTTTAATTTACTAGACCACTGAGCCGGCATTCAACGGTGTTAATGTCTTACCTCAACCAATCCACGAAATTGCGCAACCACAATAGGACGAAACGGCCGTCAAGTGCTTCTAGGTTTTTAATGGTGGTCTAAGATCAATCGTTTTATGGTCTCAATCCAGAATTTAATAATCTCCACAACCCCTATACTGATATTTCCTTTCAATTTGTCCTTCATTTAAAACTCTAAACTAATATAAAGGCCAAAACAGTTGAGAATAAAATCAGTACTAAATATAAATGGTAGTTAGTTTAATAATGTTTTAAAATTTATACGTGCTATACAAATAATTATCTATTATGAATTCAGTAACTAATTAGATAATATGTTAGATTGAATATCAATTTTGAAAATGGTAGATATATATCTTCGATAGGTACCTCTTGAATAAGAACTAATGCATGTCATGAATGATTTCACTACTAGCCATGTTTTATCTTTTCTATATAAATACATGACTATATAAACAGTTAATTATAAAATTTTATTATTTATTTTAACACATAGATATTGGTACAAGGAGGCACCAAATACATATGCGCCACACAAATCTCATTTGATTTGTGCGAAGACTATGATACTGCCCGAGTGCCCAAACCGAAGCGGGTGGTTTTCTAAGGGGGCCACACCCGGGGCCATCGACCTGAAGGTCTGATCGACAAGGCAGTGGAGCATCGTAAGGAGATGCAGTCCCATGGTTACCAGTGACCAACGATTGGTTCATACGCCATTTGTTCCTTCAGGATCCTGGTTTGGAATAAGAGTTTTCAAACTCCCCTAGGTGAACCCTCCGTGTCTACCAACCCGATGAAAGAGCCGGACATTCGCATTTCATCCTCTGAATTTCGTAAACAACACCCTCGCCACGAGAATGCAATAAGTAGGACTTCCCTTGCAAAGGTTATATACACGTGGCCATTTGAGAGCATTTCGAGAGGGAGAGCGGACTCTCCCCACTCTCGGCCGTACCAGGGCATTTGGGGGCACAGTTAATTTAAAAATGTCGTTTTGTAAGAATAAGAATTAAATTAGGTCAGTATTAAGCAACTAAATAAACATGTTTGTTGCTATTAGTAACATATATATAAAATATGCATAATTATGTGTTGTTTTCGTAATTTTAATTGTTCAGGTATACTTACTGGTGTCTACTATGCTGTTGGTACATTATTAAATAGTATTTTACTAGGATATTTCACAGTGAGTCAGTATTTTTTATTCAAATTGGTTTTCCATGGTGGTCTAGGTTCAATCGACTTATGATCTCAACTATTGAAATTACTACAATCTCCATAAAATCCCTTCTGATATTAATCAACATATGCTCACTAGTGACTGGCTTCAAGACGTATATCCTGGAGTTCTAGTGAGAAGCCGTGACCAATGGAGTTCAACCACATCTGTTGTGAAATAGTAACTCACTGAAGACAATGGTGGATGTGTCGCTCAATTTCATGGATTAGTCGAAGTTAGACATAAACACCTTATGGAGGCCTACCGACTCAGTCGTCTAGTGATAGGTCCTACCGATAGGTCCTGGATTCGAATCCTACGAGGCAGGGTCGTGGATTCGCGCTACTGAGGAGTTCATAAGAGGACAGAACGACCGTTCAGTGCTTCAAGGTTTTCCATGGTGGTCTAGCTTCAATTGACTCATGATCTAAACTATTGAAATTACTATAATATTCACAAAACCCCTTCTGATATTATTAAAAATTGATTCACTATTCTTTTTCAAATACATCAAATGTTGGCCAAGAGGTTAAAGGCTTATCATATGAACTAAAGGTCATAGGTTCGATATCTGATAGAATTGTAAATATGTGTTTATAGGAAGTCTCACATTTGAATGAAACAACTATCCAATTACTTTCTGATTTTTATATGTTATTTAACTAAGATTAGTATGTGATATGAACTGTGTAATATTATACTGTATTAACTTATTCTCTTGCATTATTACAAAATCTAAACTATTCTCTAGACCTATTAGTCACGGGGATCATGAATGCGTACTGCTAAGGAAGAGTCCTATACTAGGATGAAACGTCCATCCAGGTTTTCCATGATGATCTAGCTTCAGTTGACTCATGAATTCAATTATTATTCTATTATAATCTCCACAAAACTCCTCTCTGTGAATATTCTCTAAACTTTGAATAGTTTTAATCACATGGTATACAAATGTTTATTATTGTATGTAATAAACATCGAGTACATTGTAATGAACAATGATACCATTAATGTACATATAAAAATACCAAATAACCATGTGATCGTTTATGAGTACTGAAATCAATCTAATTAAATGTAAAACTTTCTTGTTTATCTAAATAATTGTCAACTTTTATTTAGAATTAAGATAATCATTTGAATAGATCATTGTTAACATGAAAGCCAGTAATGATGATAGAATGATATGAGATTAAATAATACAAAGTATCAATTATTCAGAATCGCTATATATATGAACAAGTGTCAACTAATTCGAAGTCTAAATATTTAGTTTCTTATCACCTCAAATTCATCTAATATCCATTTAACATACCTATAATAGTAGGTCACTTAACTAATTTTCACAGATTAAAATCATGAGTCAGTTGAAGCTAGACCACCATTGAAAACCTGGAAGCACTGGACGGCCGTTTCGTCCTAGTATGGGACTCCTCAGCAGTGCGCATCCACGATCCCGTACCACGCGGGGCTCGAACCCAGGACCTACTGGCTTCGCGCGTGAGCACTTAACTAATTGCCTACTTTGTAACGTAAGATCAATAGACTATTTCCAACAGGTTAATTAGTATAGTTGATATTGAATACATGGAATGGTCTTTACATGAATGTTAGTAGTTTTTGTACAATCAATTACAAGAAGGGATTAGTTGAAATAATATTTTATAGGGTAGAAAGGATACATACTACGGACAAACTGGAATCAGAATTGATGAACGTTGAAAAATGCCTAAGAGACAAATGTTACCCACAAAAATTTATTGACAAATATAAAAAACCTAAAAACAAAAAAAAACCGGAAATAATTATGGTCAATAAAAAAAATCAATATCTCTAAATCTCAACTTCAAAGGTGATAATGTCGCAGACACAATCATCAGGAGACTGAACATTGCGCTAGCCAGAACTTCTTTGGCAGCCAAACTATTAATTCTCTATAAAACAACATGTTCAATAACTCAATCAAAAGTTGATAAGCACCCCTTTCATGTTACCACCAACTGTATTTATAAATTTACATGTACCTGCTAAATCAGCTACATTGGCCGAATAGAAAGGAGGGCATATCTTAGATTTTTTGAGCGTATTGCAAAAAGCCTCAGAGCAAGAGAAAGAAATACTCTAAACAGTGCAGTTACCAAATGTCTCCTTGATACAGGAAATCATTTTGCAATATTTTAAGGTGATTAGTAAACAGCCAAACTCCAGTTTTCTGAAGCTGTTGCTATAAGGCGTCAAAACACGTAACTAAACCCGAGTATTTAAAAAATCTACTCAAATTGCGTAAATATTTTAAAAAAGACTCATAAGGTAAAGTCAATAAAATTAATCATGGAAAATTCAAACATTTATAGTTTTATAGGCAAATTCACCAGTCGATTAAAGCTAGACCACCATAGAAAACTTAGAGGCACTGGACGGCCGTTTCATTCTATTGTTGGACTCCTCAGCAGTGTGCATCCACGATCCTGTCTGGCAAGATTAGAACCCAATTTGTTTGTAAAGTAATTATTATTAAGACGCTTCTTAGTATTAACAGTATCTAGAATTAAAGAAATGATCGAATATCAATTTCATTCTAGTTGAGCTCCCTCTAGTTTTCAAATCTTCCTTGTCAAAACTATCACGAGTAATATAGAATATTGACACAAAATAAATCCATTGACAATCTCAATTTCTAATATGTTCACCAAATAAAATTGTTCAATTTCATATGTAACTTTTGCTGTAACAGTCCTCATGTATTTTACTCTTCAGAACAGTTAGTGATAACTACGTTTTCCAACTGAACATTTCTTTAGTCAACCGTATCAATCATCAGAGTATCCTTGAAGAGTAAAAAGAAATCCATTTCAATGTGCAAAACTGTTTCAAGTATTTTCATTACTCAAAGAAAATGACATTTGTGATGGAGAAGATTTGTAGCTCTGATAGATGATTTTGTTCTCTGAGCGTTCTCTGGTCGTGTAGTAGTTGCTTTAAAAGGTTGATCACCAGTTGTTTGTGTTTTTTTCCATCGATGGTTTTGAGATCTTGATTATTTTTTTCTTTGTTCTCTGTGTCGTTTGCATTATATCTCGATGGCTGTTGTCAAGATTTCCAAATGTTCTGACGTGAGTGCTTTTTTTGGCTTCATGTTTTGGTCCTCTATGACATGTTGATAATGTGCATCCGTTATCATTAGGTGTACCATTTTTCTTCCACTTTCATCAGCTATTCTTCATCCCAATGGTTTATTGATTCGAGGTCTGTATCTTACACTTGTTCGTAGAACATGCTGACGATGGCACTCGTGGAGAAAATACAGTTGTTCTCGTGTGGAAGCCTGCCTTTCGACGAAGTTCTCCCATTTTCGAACAACGAAAAACGTACTATGCTCATATGAAAAAAATGATACTTGTATTTCAGATGAGTAAGAAACAAATTTCACAAAATATGATAGAGAGCGAATATTTCCCACAACAAAATAAGTCAGATCACATTCACAGTAGTAATATAGTCATCAATACTATGGAAATCATATGCATAGTGATTATCAACTATTTAAAATAACGTCACAGTGTTGATCCGGTTTAGTTAATCATTGAACAATAGTAACTAATTTCGTGTTCGTCTGATCCTTAATTTATGGCTAAATGATAATCAGTCAGGTTATAATACGGATACTTGGTATTGTGTATAATACATTTGGTTATTAAATGGTTGAAGGCAGTCGAAATGGAACATTGAACCTAGATGACATTACTCACTAGTCAGTTATTAATTAATTGAAAATATTTGAGTCCTAAGGGAAATTAGTTGCAACTTCAATAGCTGAGTAGTGTCGTTTCAGACTATGATACTAGGTAATGTGGGGTTTCATTTACCAAGCTCCATCAGTTGCATCAAGATTACAGGTACGACCTGGAGACGAGTGTCAACTTGTATCAACCCCACGCTCAGAGTTTTCTGTCAAGTATCTACAACCAACTAACTTAGTTAAACGTTAGATTATTTGATCTCATTTCCAGGAAGACATGGACCCATTTTATCAGCCTCGTAGTACCTTTAAGCAAGGTGTTTCTTTAATGTTGAACATACTCATACTCCTCACATGATTCGATCATGCACCGTTCAATATCATAGTCAAAAATATTATGGAATCAGTTATTCAGCCGATAATTGTTAGTGAACTCACGTTGTCAAACATTGTTCCCCATATTTCCAAAGTACACTTCAATATGAAGTGACATCAATTTTAAAACTATTGAAAATTACGAAGTAAAAAAGCGTTGCTTCATCTTAGCGCAGGGACTCTTTAACAAGAGGATGTAACAGTGATTTGAGACAAGATCACAAACTATGATCAATAAGTCTATAGGAAAAAGTTATTAGTTTTAAACCAATGAACTACAATCCATTTGAAATCTATACATCAAATTCAGTTAATCCATTATATATTATCGAATATATGGGCAGTTCTAACGTGATCAGCTACTTAGATCACGGTTATCCATTAAAAAATCTCTATGAAATGCATTTGAAAACTGGGTATTGTAAAAGACACGCTCATACAGTAAAGTGATTGGGTATTATTACTTACTTACGCCTGTTATTCCCAATGCAGCATAGGCCACCGACCAGCATTCTCCAACCCACTCTGTTCTGGGCCTTCTTTTCTAGTTCTATACAATTGCTGTTCATTCTTCTCATGTCTGTCCTTATTTTTCGGCGTAATGTGTTCTTTGGTCTTCCTCTTCTCCTTTGGCCTTGATGATTCCATGTGAGGGCTTGTCTTGTGACACAGTTAGCTACTTTCCTCAATGTGTGTCCTATCCACTTCCAGTGCTTCTTCCTGATTTCTTCCTCCATTGGTATCTGGTTTGTTCTCTCCCACATTAGGTTGTTGCTGATAGTGTCTATCAAACGGATCCAAAATATTTTGGTAGACAACCGTTAACAAATACTTGTATCTTCTAGATGAATGCTTTCGTAGTTCTCCGAGTTTCCGCCCCATACAGTAGGACTGTCTTGACATTTGTATTGAAAATCCTGACCTTGGTGTTGGTTGCCAATTGTTGTGAGTTACAGATGTTCTTCAGTTGTAGATATGCTGCTCCTGCTTTGCCGATCCGCGTCTCCACATCTGCATCAGACCCACCCTGTTCATCAATGGTGCTGCCCAAATATGTAAAGGTTTTCACATCCTCCAAAAATTCTCGTGGAGCTCCTCTGAGGCTACTACCGGTCCCAAGACTGGATAAAGGAGGAGGAGGTTGGGCATGGAGTCAACCACTCCATCCCATAGATAACTAACTAGCTAAAAATAAACGCTTACCAAATCGGATAATATTAATCGCAACTTATCATAACACTCATTTAAACTATGCAAGATTAACTGAGTTTTTTCTTTTCTATTATATAAAATGTAGATAAAGACAGTTGTCATTGAAATTCACCTTGTATTACACTAATCCTTAAAATTTTTGTTTACATTTTATATTATTAATGAAATAAGAATTCTAATCTATCTGGTTGGGCTGGTTTCACAATGATTATTGCCGGTATATTTGGATCAGTAATAACTGGTGTAATTTTAGATAAAACAAAAAAATTTAAGTAAGATAAACAATCATTTATTCTATGTTTATTTTTACTGTTTATTTATCTAACAATATTCTATTCATTTTTAATAGTTATTTAAATCATTTCATTGTTATTATACACTCAGTCAGTCAGCTACAACGTAGGACTAGACACATATATGCATCGGTCCAAAGTACCATACCTCATTAGCACAGCAAGATGAACACCGGATTCATAGAAGTAGTTAATTCAATGGTAGTGATGTATAAAAGAAAAATTGAATATAAGGATATAGTACAGGAAGAAAGAATTAGTTCGTAGAAAGAAAGATATAAAGTAGTTTTAATCTCTTAGTTTAAAGGAAGACAGAGAGTGTATACACCTACGCCATTGTGATCCATTCTGAACCATGTCACGAAAAGTCTTCAACCATTCGTTCCGATAGTCATATGGACACCAACCAAGTAGTCTGCATCTACCAACATGACACAGACCAGAAGTTAGTGACTTCAAGCACTGATGTCACGTCTTGGTTTGACCGCCCCTAAATTCCTTCCAACCATCAGCAACTCTAGTCAACATTGCACGTCGTGATAAACACTGTTCAGGCATACGTAACACGCGGCCCAACCATCTCAGTCGATGAAAATTCACAACCTCATCAACTGATTTACCATCATTCTCTAATATCATGCATCTAACTTCAATATTACGTACCCGGTGATCCCAGCAGACGCCAGAAATCTTTCTAAGGCAACTGCGATCAAATACTAGTAACTTATGAGTATCTTCTCATAATGACCACGTTTCGCAGCCGTATAGACTATCTGGTTGTTTAGTGATTGAATATTTCAAATTTTTATTTTTATTCCTTAACTACATCCCATATACTTAGTTCTCTTTTTTTCTTACAATCACTGAATATGTTTTTATTTCGATTCTGTTTACTATTCAGTTTCATAACTATGCCAATTTCGGATTAATAAATATTTATTTTTATCAATAGTTGAGATTATGATTCAGTTGAAGCTAGACCATCATGGAAAACCTGGAAGCACTGGACAGCCAATTTGTCCTATTACCAGCTCACTGGTCAAGTGGTTAAGCGCTCGTGCGCGAGACTGATAGGTCCTGGGTTGAAATCTCACAGGGGATGGGATCGTGGATGCGCACTACCACAGAGGAGTCCCATAATAAGACGAAACGGCCGTCCAGTGTCTCCAGGTTTTCCATGGTGATCTAGCTTCAATTCAATCATGATCTCAACTATGGAAATTTATTTAACGTGTTATTACTGAATTATAACTAACTAACTAACTGAATAACCTTCAACTTCACTGAACTTTCTGCATAGAAACATAAAACAACTAGTTACTTAACGTTGTTGAATCTTATGCAAATCTTATTCATAATCTGGTTAAGTGAAAAGAAAAGAAAGCTATTTAGTGTATTTTACTTAGATCAGCGTTAAACTTGTCTAGATCGAAATAAAAAAATTGACCTGTGTTTTTTTAAATGTTATGTCAGTTGACAGATCAAAAATAGTTATGATTGAACGTGATTTGAGTAATATAAATGTTATTGAGTTATGTAATATATATACAAAACATCAATGTAGCTTATGATGGAATGTGTTAGCTGTTTGAAAATAGTCGATAGAAAAACTTGGAACTGGGTTTCTAGTTGTTTAACACATATCAAATAGGTGTCACCGTAGTCTTGAGATAACTAACGGTTTTTGTTGCATCTAAATTGTTTTTTTTAGTTCGTCTGGTATTCACCGATCTTCTAAAAGTAGTGTACTTGTTATCGAGTCATTTAGACTAGTATTCAGATTGCAACTTTATCGACAAAATTTAATCAACTCTACATTTTAGACAAACATAACGTAGATCATTATTCATTGACCAATTGGTGTAAATATTTCAGTGCTACTGGATTTCAGCGGTAGTTTAAACAGCTCATCGATAACATAACAAACTGTGAAGTAAAGTGATTTGATCTATAACGTTTATTAGAGAGAATATATTTCATTATCAGGTACAATGTATAATTGCTATTGTTGATTAACTGGATTCATTTTGAAGTATCTCAGATCATCCTAAAGGACTAGTGACGTTTTTAAAAACAATTGAAAATTTCCTTTATTATTAAAGACATCAAAGTAGGAATTATAAGTTTTAATGACACAATGCACATAGTTGAAGTAAGATGAAGTTTACTACTTGCCTATGGTAGTGTTATCTATATCTGTATGATCAGACGTACAATCGGTTTCTTGTAATTGACTTCATAAAGATATAAGTTTTCATACATTTATCTGCTTCGGTTTCGGTACCCGGGCAGTATCACAGCTCTCACACATATTGAATGAGATTTGTGTAGCGCATATTTATTTGGTGCCTCCTTGTACCAAAATCTATGTGTTAAAATAAATAAATAAACATTTATCTGATGTTCAATATTACAACAACTATGATATTACATTTTTCTATAAAATGTAATATTTATAATGCAATTAAATGTCTCTTCATTATTATTAGTATACGATTGTAGAGATTATAAAGTTTTTCACTGAGATCATAAAGCGATTGATGTTAGATCACCATTGAAAAACTGGAAGCACTGGACGGCTGTTTCAGTCTCAGTCAAAAACCTAATGACCTCCACAACCCTATACTGATAATGACTATATGCTCACTAGTGACAAGTTTAACATTGATCTAAGTAAAATACACTAAATAGCTTTCTTTTCTTTTCACTTAACCAGATTATGAATAAGATTCGCATAAGATTCAACAACGTTAAGTAACTAGTTGTTTTATGTTTCTATGCAGAAAGTTCAGTGAAGTTGAAGGTTATTCAGTTAGTTAGTTAGTTAGTTAGTTAGTTAGTTAGTTATAATTCAGTAATAACACGTTAAACAAACAAATAAATGAATAAATAAATAAATTTCAATAGTTGAGATCATGATTGAATTGAAGCTAGATCACCATGGAAAACCTGGAGACACTGGACGGCCGTTTCGTCTTACTATGGGACTCCTCTGTGGTAGTGCGCATCCACGATCCCATCCCCTGTGAGATTTCAACCCAGGACCTATCAGTCTCGCACACGAGCGCTTAACCACTTGACCAGTGAGCTGGTAATAGGACAAATTGGCTGTCCAGTGCTTCTAGGTTTTCCATGATGGTCTAGCTTCAACTGAATCATAATCTCAACTATTAAAAATTACTATACAATTCACAACCCCCCCCCCGTCACTGATATCTTGTTATGTTGTTTTCTTTTTATAGATGAAATCATTCTATTTCTTGAAAAAAAAGTTTTATTTTTGGTTTTTAGTTTTGATTGATTGTAGAAAAACATATTTTTTGTTTGTTTTAAGTAAATGTGTTCAAGTATATTCTGTATCTAAGATGTAATCACATTCATTTATGCAATATATTATCAATTAATACTAAGTGAGAGAATTATGAACGATGAGACTAAGTAATGAAAGGTCTTCTTTGAAAGCTAATTGATGTGAAAACATTAACTCATTAACAATATGCAAGAAAAATAATAAAACAATATGTATCTTAAGTGTCATAATAAGTAATGATATAGATCGAGATAACTGTATGAGATAATATAATGAAAAAGACATAGATAATCTGATATGGGAAAGTTAATCATCAGAGGTAAACTATGATAAGAAAGTCAATTAATGACAATCATAAATGATCTAAAAAACAAGTGTACTTCATTGATTATGAAATAGACTAATTTCCTAAGGAATTAGAGTATCATATTTGTTATTATCTTGATGAGAATAATGAATGATAACTGTTGGAGTCTATTTCTGGACTAATACTGTACATATATATTTATTGTATAAGTGTTAAATAACTAAACGGTTAATATTTATGTTCCTCTTATTATGAGCTTTATTTTGACCTATGAACTATATTATTATACGATTTACCATTCTTGAGTTATGCCCAGTCCGTCAATTCCAGTCTTCCACATTCACAGCCACTTTTGAAATATAATGATTCATATCGCGGAGGCTGAGATTAGTATTCTGGACTCTAACAGACAGGCAGGGCTAGGGAGGGAAAAGGATCGATAAAGACTATAAACTGCTCATATGGGTTTTATGTGTCATTAGTTCAGTCGATAATTCACTGTTCCCGAATTGGCGTTATCATTACGTCATATCAGTCAGTAACAGCATAGAACTTCGTACGTACGTACATCAGTTCAAGTTGCCACACCACATTAGCACAGAGATGCAGTTGTCGATTCAAATCCCGTAGTGGTAGAGGTAATAAGAGTATAAGCAGTAATCGGGAAGATTAGGGTTTGGAGATGTTATTTAAAGAGTATAATCCAGTGAAATAAACTTGGAAAGAGGAAAAAAGGGACATGAAGAATTCAGGAGATTAGAATTTGGGAGAACACAAAGAGTGGATGCACCTGCGCCATTGCAAACGATTTTGAGCTATGTCATTCAGGGTCTCTAACCATCGGTTGCTATCATCTCGTGGTCCCCAACCAGGTAGTCTACACCTACCAATATGACTCAGTCCACTTGTCAGTGACTTCATGGACTTGTGCCATGTTTTGGTTTGGCCGCCCCTAGCTTTCTTCCAACCTACTCCCATACCACTGAACATAACACGTCGAGGTAGTCATATATTATTAGGACAGAGGGTCCAAGTTATAACACACACACATATATATATATATATATATATATATATATATATATATATATATATATGAATAAGTATTTGTACGTTTTCATTCGATAATCTAATACACATTTTTGATTACTCTTGTGTTCTCACTCAAATAGTCACTACGAAGGACTGTGAGGGGGGAGGGTTAACACATAGCACCCCGTGTATCAGTAACACATTTATGACAATGTCCATCACAACATACTAAGTTGTTATCTATCCAATAATTATTAATTATCATTTTGATAAATTCAAAGAAATTAATTAAATAATTCATCCATGAGAAATCTATCTTACTTCTAAGATAATTGACAATTAACTACACTTTTATACTTGCTCAGTTGTTCAATGATTTGATCTTGATGAAAAGAGAATAATATGGTATATACATAATCAGTCATTAGTCTAAACTAATTATCGATTTTATATTATTTTGGTTTCATTTAGATTAATCACATGCATTATATATATACTAAGTTTATTGTTTATGGGAATCTTCACTGGAATATTATATTTTCGTTCAATGCCAATAGTCTTTATCATTATGTTCTGTTTAGGGTAAGTTATCATTTCTTATATATATGATCTTAACTAATGATACAATGAATGTTTAAATGAATTCAATTGTGATTAAATGAAGCTGATGCCGTGTAAGAAAGATTTGTGACAGTTGACTAAAGAAGAGAATAAGAAGATAGATTAAAATATTATTCAGTTGAATAGTACTTCATTTGTTTTAAGCCTCTAAATGCCCTAGTATAGTTTAGAGTAGAGAGAGTGACAACTCTCTCTCTCACATATGGCTACATCCATACAACCACTGACAGGGAAGTGCTATTCACTGCCTTCTCTGATCGACGGTGTTTTTTTACAAAATTGAGAGGACGAAAAACGGATATCTGGTGCTTTCATTGGGTTGGTGGACATGTAGAGTTTACCTAGGGGAGTTGGAAAACCCTGATTACAAACCAATGTTGCAGATTGGCTCTAGGATCCTGAAGGAACAAATGGCGTATGAACCTATTATTGGTCACCGGTAACCATGGAACTGCATCACGTGACATTGCTCCACTGCCTTGTGAATTAGACTTTTGGGTCACAGGCTCAGGGTGTGACCTCATAAGAAAATCACCTGCACGAACGATGATTGTTGCAGAATAATATGAATTCATTTTATTTCGTTAGGTTCTTACCAGCTGACTAAAGATGAATATATATGCATCATGATGAGATCGTGGCCTTATTAATTGCATAGCGAACACAAACACGAATTGGGTAATCGAAATTACAGAGTATCTCACTGAGATCTAAGAACTGCAGAGTAAATACATAATTTGCAAAATCTCAATCAATTGTCTCAAACTTGACTATTCCTTTACAAATATCAGTCCATCGTCTTAGATTTTATTGTTTCTGCATTTTCTTGTCAATTGCTTTCTGTTCCCATTCTTGCCTCCATGATCTATTGAAATATATTCTGTTCCTGGCTATCGTTATATACTACTTATGTGGATATAAGTAGCTTACACCACAACTGCACCAATCTCCGTTATGTTCTCTTAAATTTATCATGATCAAACTTGTATAATTAGTCTATTGGTTCGATAATCAAAACGAATTCTACCCTTCAAAAATTTTTCACTTCTTTTGGCTGTATAAATATCGAAGGTTAATATCTTAATCTTTAATTGCTAAGAACTACTCATTTAACTAAAGCCAATACATTTTCAGTTACCCCTAAAGTAAGGGGTATAAATTAAATTTACTAGAGAGACAAAACTTTGCATACCATTCACAGTAGTAGTAACTCTGTGTTCTACTTTAGAATAAACTAGAAAATGAATTATTTGAAACAGTTAATTGTTTTCTCATCCTAACAGATCTATATATGCTCCAGATACGATACCTACTTTACTTAAACCTAACTAACTGAGTTCTTATTCGTTATGTAGGATCTTTCAATAAATATCTCATATTATTTGTAGAAAAAATAAACATGTATAATACATATCATAATCGCTGATAAAGTTTACATTTTGGTGGTGTTTTGTTCTCTGAGCTGGATGGTTTAGTCGTGGAGCTTTCATCGTTCTTCTGAACGACATCATCAGCACAAACTTCAGATAGAAGTGAAGTGTTCGAATTTCTCCATATGTGTTTCACAGCTTGTTCTGTGCACCTCGATGTTGATTGGTTCTTGTTGACCTTAAATTTATCATTGTTTACTTCTTTGTTTTGGTTGTGTCTCCCATTGGTTTGATTTTTGTTCCTATATTTATGCATGATTTTCCTGATTGGCTGATAAATTGGATTGATTTCAATATGTTTGTTGATTGCTGATTGACCTGAGTGCCAAGCTTCTAAAAATTCTCTGGTGTTTTTGGAGTTTCCTCTGTCTAAGATTTCTACATTTTCCCAATCGGACATTCATTCGATTGGGAAAATGTAGAAATCTTAGACAGAGGAAACTCCAAAAACACCAGAGAATTTTTAGAAGCTTGGCACTCAGGTCAATCAGCAATCAACAAACATATTGAAATCAATCCAATTTATCAGCCAATCAGGAAAATCATGCATAAATATAGGAACAAAAATCAAACCAATGGGAGACACAACCAAAACAAAGAAGTAAACAATGATAAATTTAAGGTCAACAAGAACCAATCAACATCGAGGTGCACAGAACAAGCTGTGAAACACATATGGAGAAATTCGAACACTTCACTTCTATCTGAAGTTTGTGCTGATGATGTCGTTCAGAAGAACGATGAAAGCTCCACGACTAAACCATCCAGCTCAGAGAACAAAACACCACCAAAATCATCCACCTGAGCTACAAATCTTCTCCACCATCTCAAAGTTTACATTAGCAGACAGTAATTCACTTCAACTAGATATTTCTAAACTATTTGATTAAATTGTATAAATTCATGAATCAATTGAAGCTAGGTCACCATGGAAAACCTGAAAGTACTGGACGGTTGTTTTGTCCGAGAATGGGATTGGTTGAAGTTAGACATTCATACCGTTGAATGCCGACTTAATGGTTTTGAGGTTAGATGTTCTCACACGAAACCGAAGTTCCTGTATTTGAGTCCCATGTGTGGAATCGTGGACGCGAACGCCAGAGGAATCCCATACTAGGATGAAACGATCGTTCAGTGCTTCAAGGTATTCAATGATGGTCTAACTTAGATGGACTCGTGAATTGAACTTCAAAAATTGGCTTTTTATTATAAACTATCAAGAACCAAATATTGACAAATATTTCAATAGAAGTTCCTCAGTAATTCAATACGCTTGTTTCATTATTAAATATATAAAAAGTAGTTGAATCTACTAACGCCTAGTTAACATTATTCACTGTTCACATCTAACATCAAACCTTCAAGAAAATACACTGAAATATAGGCAGTTACACGTTACAGTATGAATACAGTTCGATTATCTAAATCTTTAACTGATATATTCAATAATTTTTCTCTTTGATTGAACAAACAAAAGAAAAAACATCTAAGTGAATTGAAGTAGAACAAACAAGATCGGATCATAAAACAGTATGAAAGTTGATCCCATTCTATCGATCAAATTATATAATAATGAGACTGAAGATATCAATTTTATTTCCTACCTTTAATGTAGTGTGTGTGTGATTGAAGCCCAATTATTAAAAATATCTTTAGACCTAGTTATAATGTTAGTTAAGACTTGCCACTCTAACAGTCTTGAACAAACAGTGTTACCCTTTTTGTAATCCTATATCTGACTCCAATTAGATCATATGAATGTTATTGAAGTATACATGTTGCCTATCCTTGTATATAATCATCGATTTAACTCTCGTTAGTGTACATTTTGTACACTCAATGATCTGAACAGGCAATCAGAAGGACGAAGCGAAGAGAAATGACGCGATTTTATGAGCGATTCGAAGTATCGTGAAAACAGAGTATTATATCGTTTATGGGTATGATAGCGGAATAAGTTATGAAAATAAGTAGAGCAGATTATGACAGAAATTGGTCTGTGATGCTGACAGAATATAAAGATCAAGAATAGTGGAATATGAACATGTTTTAATAAGCCGTAGTAGAGTAAATAGCTTCGATTAGCGATGAGTGGATTAGAACTTACACACATGGAGTTTCTGTTCGTAGGATAAGATGTACACACGCATACGCTCATATAAAAACAGTCAAGGTTGATAAGTGAATAGTTAAAAAGGTCAAAACATGATTCAAGAAGAATGCATAAAACGACCTGTTCAGAAGCTAGAATAAGTTATATGGGCTTAACATAGTAAATGACACCACAACCTGCACGATAATGAATAGTAATCTTTGCAATCAGACAGGGAGTAATAGTTCTTTCAATACTGCAATTAGACGTTAATTACAGCTAGCTGCGACTAGCAAGAAACTTAATTTAGGCTTTCTTGCTGATTACTTCAAATCATACTAATGAGTTTCATCAGTTCTTACTAAGAAACATGATATTGATAAATGATAGTAAATATTATAGTATCCTAGAAAACTGTTATTAAAAAAAAACATGTACAGAAGGCAGTGTAGATGTACAACGCGTTATTTACAATACTGTAATGAATTTTGTTACTTACTTCTCATGTTCTCACATTAAATTGTTGAGTTTGTAGTTGCTAAACAAATGCCGGCTCAGTGGTTTAGTGGTTAAGCGCCCGCGCACGAGACTGTTAGGTCTTGGGTTCAAATCTCGCGAGGCGAGATCGTCGATGCCCACTGCTGAGGAGTCCCACAGTAGGACAAAGCGGTCGTCCAGTGCTTTTAGGTTTTCCATGGTGTTCTCGCTTCAATCGACTCATGACCATTGAAATTACTATCATATCCACAAAAACCCTGTTTGGTTGATATATAGACCCAGTATGTCTGAAATAAATGATTCGCATAGTGGAAGCTGTATTAGTGTTCTGAACTCAACTAGACGGGCTAGTCGAGCACGAGACCAATAGGACACTAGACTGCTCATACCGGTCGAACGTCATTAGTTTAGTACAGTACAAAAAAGAATCATTCGTATTTTTTGATTGGCGAATAAATTACATGACAACTAGCGGCCATAAAGTTACGACATCTTACTTGAACAAAACAATTATTCAGTAGTATATAAATCTTAATCATACCATCTTAATTTTGTCTATTCTATAAAGTTCTTTGTTTATTCATTTATCTGTGATAACTTCACTTTGTTTTTTAATAAATTTCTCTTACTACTTATTTCAGTTTCTTTATGACCGGTTATTTAAGTATTGGTTTTGAATTAGCCGCTGAATTAACTTATCCAGAAAGTGAAGGTTTATCTTCTGGTTTGTTGAATACATCAGCACAGGTAAATGTTATTATATAAATATATTGATATATGAAGAATATAAATATATATAATTCGGTGAATAATAAACGATATGCTGTAAGGTATGCTACTTATGTCGATATAAGTAGTATATAACATCAGTCAGAAGTGCAATGCTTGGGAGCAAAAGATTGGGAAGATTGAATCATAGAGAACGGGAACATAAAGACTAATTGTTGTGACAATAATGGAACGATAATGTTTAAGACAATTGATGGAGGATTTGCAAAAGAAGAATTGAACGTATGGTTTTTACATTTTACCATAGAACTTTAGAATTTAGTATTAAAATACAATTGGTTGTCCCTACTTGTGTTCTCCTTCATAACAATAGCATTAATATATATATATGCTAATTCCAGTTGTTACAGTTCATCTCAACGCGACCACAGAAAGAAATCGTCAGTTTATGAAAGTAAGTAAGTGATCTGACATTGATAGGAAAAGGATCAACAATAACAATTGATCATATTTAAGATCAGCAGAATAAATTGTTTAGTTTGTGGAGAAATTTGAATAGTTCACTTCTATCTGACGTTTTTTTCTGATGATGATGTTGTTCCCCGGAAAGACAATAAAAATTTCATAATTAAACTATTGAGCTCAGGCCCCGAAATGCCCTGGTATGGCCGAGAGTGGGATGGGCCCTCCCTCCCTCTCGAAATGCTCTCACAAGGCCACTCGTATACAGCCTCTGCCAGGAAAGTCCTACTCACTGCCTTCTCGTGACGGGAGTGTTGTTTACGAAAATGAGAGGACGAAAAGCGAATGTCCAGCGCTTTAATCGGATCCCAAACCAATGGTGCACATGGGCTCCAGTATCCTAAAAGAACAAATGGCGTATGAACCAATCGTTGGTCACCGGCTACCATGGGACTGCATCTCCTTACGATGCTCCACTGCCTTGTGGATCAGACCTTTAGGTCAAAGGCTCGGGGTGTGGCCCCCTAAAGAAACCACCTGCTTCGGTCTGGGCACCCGGGCAGTTTCACAGCCCACACACACACACAAATATGGTGTAGCGCATATATATTTGGTGTCCTCCTTTACCAATATTTATGTGTTGTAATAAATAATAATAATAAATTGATCTCAGACGATGAAATTTCAAAAATAAAAAGATCCTCAGTAGTTGTAAATATTCTTACTCATCTCAAATATAATTTAGAAGAAATGAGCTCCCATGCTCGAGTTATGTCACACAAGATTTACGACTGAAGAATACGTTTATCCGTATACAGAATAAGTCGGTGCGACTGTTAATGACCTCATAGACTGACATTCTGTACAGATCGTCGTTAACAATAACTAAATATAGGTCAATCGTTTCATAATCTTCTTAAGTGATAACGATTTCTCTATATACTTGAAAGACTGAATTCTAAGAAAACATAATCATTTAAAGATATATTCTCTTGTAACTAAAATCTAGTTATCTCTACAAGTCAATTACATTTCATTATATGTCATTATTTTACCATGATGGTGAAATATATCAATGTATTTTTCAATATTTTTTGACAGTATAAATAGTTGTTAAGTGTTCAACAACTGAATAACAAGTTCGAATACTGTCTACTTTCTTACTTGTATAAAAATTTCTTGTAGCTATCTATATTGTTCACAATACATACATATCAAATCAAATACATTTTACTTAATAGGAAATACATAATAAGATTTCGATAAATATCCTATGACTAACAAAATTGCCTGTTATTGTAAATATAGTCTAATTGTATTCCAGAGTTTATTACGTAATCATCCCTATATAAATATTCTGTTTGTGTATTGTTTTCTTTCTCTCATAAACATAACGTCAGATATTTGGCCTTATACTGATTCATGTTGCAACACCATTGAGAACAAATTATGGAGTTTTGCCTGGAAATTTATTCCTTACAGGATTAACACTAATTGGAACAATAATGACAGGTATGTCCGTATAGGCGAATATGTAAAAATGCATTAGTATTAGAACAGACCACCTAGGGAACAGTTATTTCATGTGTCGCTTGATTTCATGGATTACTTGAATTTAGATATTGACACCATTGGATGCCGGCTCAGTGGTCTACAGGTTAAGAGTTCATGCGCGAGACTGATAGATCTTGCGTCCGAATCTTACGAGGCGGGATCGTGGATGAGTACTGCTGAGAAGTCCCACAATAGGACGAAACGGCCGTCTAGTGCTTTCACGTTTTCTATGGTGTTCTAGCTTCAATTGACTCATGATCCCAACTATCGGAGTTATTTCATTGTTAATCAGTTCTGTTAACAAACAAATATCAATTAATCGGTCACAATCAATATAGTAAGTGTGTACATGCAAATATAGACTACGGTTATAACTTAATATTGTTAACACAATACATTGGAATTATCGGAATGAATAATGAAAAGAATTACAATAACAACAAAATCATTAAGGGATAATCGTTAAAATGGAAAAATAAATTTATAGCATAAATATTATGTAAAATTGTCAAAACTCAACATCTAGATGATGAAGGTTGAACACATTAACGCTGATCAAAGATTTATCGCAAATACGGTACTATTCCCAACTAGACAGTCTCTACATTATCAATATGGCCTATACTAATAGTCGGTAACTCCATGGATTGATCATATAATTGGCGATGTCGGGAATTTGATACTGATACACGATACCGATACACGTGCTACACACTAACCCCCTACCTGACTACTTGAACAAGAAAAAGTAGTGGACGAGAAAGTATATTGGGCTACCGAATAAAATACGCAATGAAATGGACTTGTCCTACAGGTCGTTTTTGATTGTGATTGATCGAGCACCCCATTTGCCTACTTTTGATTAACTTACCATATCACTTTTCCTTCCTGGAAAATAAGTCCTGCTCCTTGAATTTAACTGAAGACATTGAGGGGAACTTTGTCTTTTTAATGATCTTCTTAGAGTCTGGCCTTCACTTCTTCTGCGCTAATCGTGTCGCTTTAGACTGACTGAATCAATTAAATGATCTAATGCCCAGTTCGAGCTAAAGGGTTCCTTAGCCGAATTTAATCGTCTATCGCGGATGTGGTTCACATGTCGTGTCAGACATAAACCTCGAATATCAATTTTGAACATCAAGTCACCGACTCCTCTTACGGTAACACTCGCTACCCCCTCAAGCCTCTATATCAAGTCCCCTTCACTTTTTTTCAACCTATTCCTTTCACCAGTCAATAATGCAATACAAATCTAGCGATACAATATACTCATTATGTATTCTGTTTAGTTAGACTGTTGAAATAGAAATAATATGAGATCGTAAATTTGAAACTGATACAGTAGGGTATTTTGATTAAAAGAAATCTTTCAAATTACATAAGCTGATATTTGTGAAGACCAATTACGAATTTAGAAATGTGTACAGTATCTAGGAGGAGAGAGAAAGCAATGATTTACGATCTTCAATTTATATCTAAATTAGGTAGATCAGTAAAACAATCATTACATATAATTTTTTTCCATCATTATTTGGATGTGATATTTTGTCCTTAATCTAAACATTGTAAGCTAAGGGATGGTCAACAGAAGGACTGTGGACCCTATGATTCATGCTAGTTGACACCTGTCAGCAAAGTATACGCGCGATCCCTAAGGAACAGATATTTCGTATGAGATTCTAGCCTTCGACACCCATTTTCATAGTCCATGATATTATCAATGAACTTTTTAGGCCTCAAATTGCCTCCTGCAGTACTTCAATAAATTCCTATCGATTAATCACCAAATAGTGAAGAATTTCTTTTATGTCTAGCCTTTAATGTTGGTCACTTTTCTTTAGAATTGATCTGCCAATAAGAAGTAACCGATAGAAATAAACCAACGGAATTTCGCTATTAGATCCATTACACAATATATGACATCAACACTCTACATCTGATGAAATAGTCTTGTTATCAATAATTCGTCACTGAGATATTTATTCTAGCTATAACTACATTCAACATAACATGTTCTTGAATGTTTTGTGTGAATGAATCATAATTTCAACCAACTATTGTGTCAAAATATTTATTATTATTTGTGATTACTTGATAAATACCATGAATTATCTGGATTTTATTTCGTAGATCTATGTACCCAATGTATATGTCATGAAAACTGGGTTCGGAGGCTTCATAGTGTTACACAATCTCAGAATATTCTTAAAACTGACCGGTTTAGAATGAGATTTCTCAATTTCTTGACAAAAATTAGTAACGAATTCGGATGAATCTTAGATTATCGATCTAAATACTGTCTGTAATACTGATAAACATGATCCAACGTTCTGTGTAGAATAAACGGATTGTGGTTAGTAGTAAAATGTAGGACATACGTGTTCTCATATTAGAACCGCATCTTTTGAACCCCAGAATTCAACAATTTGGGTATCTAGATTTAAATATTTCCGGAAATTACTCACTTTTGCTCACTGTTGATTATTTTGAGAGGTCATCCCCAATGAGAAGCTATGACTATTGATATTTGAAAGTTAGACAAATATCGTTAATGGCAATGAATGATGTTTATGTAGCTTCTTAAATTGACTGAGTTTGAAAAGTTAATCAGTTAACTTTCAACTCAGTAATTCTCCTGTCAAATTCTTAGCAATGAAACCTGAGGATTCTGTATATAATTCCTGACGGGGCTGTAAATGCCTATTTCTTTCGAGTCGCATAGAGCCTCGAAACATCTCTCCAGAGCTTCTTGGCTTCCAGTGGTATTTAAACAATCTCCATTATTAAGAATGAAACAAATATATAATTAAATATATATAATATGTAATTATATATATATCGTTTAATTAATAATTAATGAATAAACTAATCTTCTCAGTCAGTCAGTCAGTCAGTCAGTCAGTCAGTCAGTCAGTAACAACGTAGAACTTCGTACGTACGTACATCAGTTCGAGTTGCCACACCACATTAGCACAGAGATGCAGTGGTCGATTCAAATCCCGTAGTGCTAGATGTAGTAAAATTATAAGCTGTAATCAATATGATAGTTCCATTCCATTACACTAAGCAGTAGACAGTAATTTATTGCACAATTATAGTAATACAGCTATACCAGTATTAGTAATTTCTAGCTATCCCCTCTTTATGTAATTGATAACAGAAACGATAAATGTTTATGTAACTAAGATTTGTTTTTTTTCGTATGATCTCTAATTAATTTTTACATATATATATATAACACATTCTTGCATTCTTTTATCACATGCTTATTGATTCTATCTTCCATGACTTTATATTTTACAGTGTTAATTAAAGAGAATCTTTATCGTCAACAGGCACATGAACGTGTAAGTTCATTGAAATATGTTTTTTATGTCTATGTAATTACTTATTATGATCTGTTTATTTTATCAATAATCTTCATGTCTAGTTTAGATATTACTGGTTATTAAAATATACTTGAATTCATCAGTTGATCTAAATTAGATAATCAATAAAAACTTGGGAGTATTCAATGGCCATTTCGTCCTAGTATGGTTGGTAGATGTAGACTATCTGGTTGGGGACTGCGAGATGATATCAACAGATGGTTAGAGACCTTGAATGACATGACTGAAAACCGTTTGCGATGGCGCAAGTGCATCCACTCTTTGTGTTCTCCCAAATTCTAATCTCCTGAATCCTCTTTGTCTCTTTTTTTTCTCTTTCCAAATTTATTTCACTGGATTATGCTCGTTGAATAACATCTTCGAACCCTCATCTTTCCGATTACTGCCAATACTCTTATCGCCTCTACTACTACGGGATTTGAATCGACAACTGCATCTCTGTGCTAATGTGGTGTGGCAACTCGAACTGATGTACGTACATACAAAGTTCTACGTTGTTACTGACTGACTGACCTAGTATGGAACTCTTCAACAGTACGCATCTACAATCCTTGGGTTCAAGTTCCGTGCGCTAAGATCTATCTTAGATTGACTCATGAATTCAACTATCAAAATTATTACAATCTACACAAATCCCCATTCTGATAATAATATATGCATCTTACTTAGATTAGTAATCAACAGTTAGATAATAATTTCAATGGTTGAGATCATGAGTCAGATGAAGTTAGACCACCATGGAAAACCTGGAAGCACTGGATGGCCGTTTTGTCTTATTATGGAACTCCTCAGCAATACGCATCGACGATCCCGCCTCGTGAGATTTGAACCCAGAACCTAACACTCTCCTGCGCGAGCGCTTACCCACTGAGCCAGCATCCAACGGTGTTGATGTCTAACTTCAACTAATCCACGAAATTGAGCGATAATGATAATGATTCAGAAATTTCATTAGAACCCTTGCAACTTGTGTTAGTTGTGGAGTAGACGATATGTTCATTTGTTAACAAGCTGTGTCAATGTACAGCTTAGCAGTCATCTTTGTATTTCTCAGTGGTTATGAAATATGATCGATCAAAGTAAAATATTTATGTAAGCGCCAAGTTCCTGATCATAGATTTTTTCACGATAGTGCTTTGATATGGTGGAACAACCGGGTGAGTATCATGAAACCATACGAAGTTGGTTAATTGCATAGTGAATGGTTGGAACACGTATAACGTATACCCAACCAAAACTTACTTCGGCGCCTTTTGTTAACTAGTGTAAAAGTAAAATGTAAGAAAATTAGGAGCGGCTAAACCAAGGAGTTGTATCAATACATGAAGTTATTAACTGTTGGTAGATGTAGATTAACTGGTTGGTGTTGGAGTGGTAACCATAATCCGTGGTTAGAGTAGTTGCGTGACATGATACAGATTTAGTCTCACCGTTACGAATGAATCCGCTCTATACATATCTTTCTCTATAAACTCAGTCCTAGTATTCTGTCAGAAATACTATTTCATCATGTCTTCTTGAATCATATTCTAAATATTTAATCATTCTCACATTTATTTCTATAAACGCAAACTGTCACAGAAACATTAAGTGAGATAGTTATACAATAAACTTATTGACTGTTTCGTCATAATAGAAGGACTCTTAAACGATAAGCATATTGATGCAGTTCAAACTTCATTTATTGCATGCTAAGTTAGTAGTTTCGAAGGTTAAGTGATGGAAGGAATTCTCCTGGTGAGTACCATTTAAACATTAAAACATTCTTCACAAAACTTCATTTAATCTATGAATATTCCTACTTGGTAAGGTTGACAGATAAATCGCCAAAATGTAAATAGAAATCCTTCTGATCTTATTATATTCATTAGTACTTAAGCTGTAGTTTTAAAAAAGAGGAGTTACACAAGTTGATGATCAACTGTTTGATAAAAAAAAGCCTAATAGTCTAACATGAATCAAATTGTTCAATCGGATACTGGATTGTTTGTTAATGATTACTTCTTTCCTTTCCTAAACACTGGAGGGGGAGGAGGGAAGGTATTCATATTACAGAAGGCTAAAATACTTCACATGTAGACAATTTTCAATTACATTAAAGTGTAATATTGATTTTAACACTTTAGAAGAAGGCTGAAACACAAAATGTTCCCGGTAGGTGTGTGCTTTATTTTCTCTTCATCTGAGCTATAATGTTTACATTACGTTTTGTAAACGCTATATAGATCTTGTGTGCTCTGTTATCATCTTCATTTCTAATTATTTCCCATCTACTAATTGTATTTATTTATTCATTTATTTTGTGTATGTGTGTGTGTGCATGTATGAAAGTGTTTTTTGTATTCTTCATTTTATACAGAACGAAAATAACATTTTCATAATAAGTTGGATTCATTATTTTCTATTTCAAAGCTTCTTATCGACTCCAAACAGACTAAAATTACAATTATCAGTATGGGGTTGTGGAGATTATTAAGTTGTTTTTTATTGTAATCATGAATCAATTGATGTTAGACCATCACTGAAAATCTGAAAGCACTGGACGATCGTTTCGTCTTATTGGGGAACTTCTCAACAGTGTGTATCCACTATCTCGCTCACGGTGTTCAAACCTAGGGCTTTCGATCTCGAAAATCATACAAAACATAGTTAAGTATGATGTCTACGAAGATATTGAAAATTATTGAAGAAGATTAAAGGAAATCAGTATAAGATTGTGGAGAGTGTTGGATTTTATTCAAATCACAAAACGATTAAATTTTGACAACCAATTAAAAATCTGGAAGCATTAAAATGCTGTTTTTTTGTTCTAGTATGGAACTTCACAACAATACTCACCCATGACATTAGAAAAATAATGGGTTACATAGTTGTAATGAAACTGAGTGATTGCATAATTATTCAAAATAGTTAGAATGATAGTAAAACTAATATGTGAATATCAACTACATAAGAGATAAAGAAAGTTAAATGGTCATGGTCATTATGGTAATGAAAAGCTTATCACAATTATTTTCTATAAACATACATCAGGTTGAATGTATTTGTTAACAATCAGAATTAGCAAACAGAGTAAAACTAATGTTCATTGTCTGTTAATGTATTCCATAAACTATCTATATCCATTATTCATCAGAAGGGTCCATCAAATGTATGGCAATTGGAATGATGAAAAATTTACATATAAGGATAAGTTCTTAAGAATTCATTCAGGTCACTTGAGAGAGACCCTTTTCTTTGTCTTTCCAATATACTTAGTACATCAAATATATGTTAATTCATAGATACAACTGTAGGTAACAGCGGACGTGTATTGATCTACATTTGAATGTTATGACGAACATTCGACGTAATACAATGAAAGCAATAGAACCACAGAGCTATGTTTCATCTTATATTTCATATTCTATTCTTCTTGTGTATAATGCTTGATTCCATTTCCAACATTTATCTATCTCAACTTCACTAACTAAAATAGGTTCAACTTCTATTTATAGCTAATACGAATACTCCTCCCTGTAGTTTTAGATGGCGAGACTATAATTTGTGGACGGATCAATCAGGTATAAGATAATAGGTCTCGAATTTTGGCACGAAATTCATTCATCCATTTACCTAAATAGAGTTTTGGCATTATAGCAGATGACAGTTCGTGATGAAAACCCTAAATCTAATTCCTAACCCCTAACCGTAAATTGTTAATCATAATTCGAATTCCTCACATTGGTTTATAACCCTCATTTGGTCCTAGTTATTAGATGGACACTCTCAAGGTTACTTTAGCGTCGGTCAATGTTCGTCCATAACTTATAGTTTACCACTGATAAGTAATCTTGAAATAGACAATAACGAAATCATTTTATTCTACAAATCTTGCTTTGTTTTTCCTTCAATTGTATGAAATATTGATTTGGTTCTGTTCACATCATTCATGACTAAATTGTTCACTTGAGTGTATGATATCTTGAATGATGGTACAGTTTTGTTGGAATATGCATATCTGTCTAGTTTATCTTCTATAATGACCTACATGAAATATAAGCTATGCATTACTTTTCTTGTTTTTTTCTTGTATTACAATAATATTATTGTAAGAATGGGTTTTGTGGAGAGTTTTAGAAATTTCACAGGTTGAAATCATGAGTTGATTGAAGCTAGACCATCGTGGAAAACCTGGACGCACTGGACGGCCGTTTCGTCCTATTGTGGGACTCCTCAGCAGTGCGCATCAATATGTATTTATCTCTTGAGAAATTGTATTAGAGAGTAGGATATATATCTGTAAGGAAGCGAAACATTTGCACGTAAGATTGTCATACACCTGATGGATACTTACTTACGCCTGTTACCCCCAATGGAGCATAGGCCACCGACCAGCATTCTCCAACCCTATCTCGCCTGGGCCTTCCTTTCTAATTCTATCCAATTTTTGTCCAATATTCTCATGTCTGTCTCCATTTCTCGTCGTACTGTGTTCTTTGTTCTTCCTTTTCTTCTAAAGTCTTGAGGATTCCAATTGAAAGCTTGCCTTGTGATGCAGTTAAGTGCTTTCTTCATTTTGCGTCGTAAGGTTGTCATACACCTGATGGATAGAGAATATACAATGAATATCAATGAAGTATCTAAGATAAACAATAGATAACCAACATCAATCTTGATTCACTTTTTAGAAACAGTTATTGACAAACGTTTTCAACTTGGTGTAATTTACTTTTCACTGACACAGTGATCATTATTATCAGTCAAATAACTCTTTTAGCTTGTTAATCTTATTCATCATAGATTTTTATCATTTGTGAACTAATTGTCTTGATAAATTTTAATTTGATTACGGTCCTAATCACTTATTGACTTAGTACACATTCCTCCTAAGCAAAGATGGATAGCGGCTAGCAGTGGATTCTAGGTCGCACGTTTCATCCTATTCGGGGCTCGTCAGCTGGATATACTTGCACCTCAGAGTTGATGTTCACTATGGGACTCAAACCCAGTACCGTTCAGTTCAAATGCCATCACATTATCCACTTGGCTACTGTGTCATGAGAACCACTTGCTTGTGCAATGGAGGGAAGTTTAAATTCTCTTGGTAATATTTACTTGAATCTTCCAATCGATGATTAGGACTGCAACTGATCAGTTTCTTGAAGCGAAGCGTACTAGATTCGAGTCTCAGAGTGAACATCAACTCTGAGATACAGGTATATCCAGATGAAAGGTCTCAAATGGAACGAAATGCGCTTCCTTTATTCCACTGCTAGCCACTATCCATCTTTGCTTACTTTCTAAAATTCTTATAAATCCTAACCATATAGTTACTTATACCTTTTTATGATCTATTCTCATCATTTTAACTTTTTCGCTCCGTTTCGAACAACCATCTATTTTAACTTTAACTAACTAAAGTATGTTAAACAAATGTTTACAATGATATTATCAATTGTAATCTCAGTCTGTTTCCAGTTATTAAAGAGTTATCAAGTAGAACAAATTCATTTTATTCTTTGAATGTTACTATGTTTACTTTGTTTAAATAATTTTAGTTAGTAAATGAGACTCTCCAATAAACCCTTGTTTCTAGAATGAATATATTCATTTGTCCTCTTTTTGAAATGGAATTATTTTAGTGTATTAGATTGAAACTAACTAATTACTTGAATAACATTAACTATTTTTATTAACAATTTCAATAGTTGAGATCATGAGTCAATTTAAGCTAGACCACTATGGAAAACCTGAAAGCACTGAACGGCCCTTTTGACTCATTATCTCAACCGTTGAAATTACTACAATCTCCACAAAACCCCTTCTGATACTAATCAACATATGATCACTAGTGAATGGCTTCAAGAAGTATATCCTGGAGTTCTAGTGAGTGTAATGACCAGTGGAGTTCGACTGGGTCAGTTGTTAGATAGTAACTCATTGATGACTATGGTGAATGTGTCGCTCAATTTCATGGATTAGTTGAAGTTAGACATAAACACCGTTGGATACCGGCTCAGTGGTCTAGTTGGTTAAGTGCCTGGCGCGAGACTGATAGGTCCTGGGTTCAAATCTCGTGGGGGGCGGGGTCGTAGGTGAGCACTGCTGAGGAGTCCCATACTAAGACGAGACAGCCGTCCAGTGCTTCCAGGTTTTCCATGGTGGTCTAGCTTCAATTGACTCATGATTTCAACCAGTGAGATCTTAGTACTGTTTATCAAGTAATTAATAAACAGAATATCAGCAGGCATTTATGTTACTAAAACACTTCAGCTATCCTTCCTCTCAACTTTAATTCATGCAGTCACAGTTGCCTTTGCTTAATGAATGAAATGAATTTTTTGCATATTGAAAAAAATACAAAACTATATTTGTAAAACATTTTATTGATTTTTTTAAAGAAAAAAATAATCAATATTTGGAAGATCTAGATCATATCAAGTGTATTGTTGAAGAATTCACTTTCACTTATATTGTTTTGATTGTTTTACATTTTTCTAAAGATTTAGATAAAACTAGGCTACAATATTATTTTATAATGAATCTCTTTAATAGTTTTAATATTATTTCTTTTCATTTTCATAATGATCAGCTGATATCGGAATCATTTGAAACTGAAACAACATGGAACTATTATTATTGTTTTGATCAAAATTTGACACTTACCGTCTATACCCTTTTTTTGAAAACTTAGAACTTTTAAGTTTAGATGTGTTCAACATGATAGTATGTAGTCAGGCTCCAAAATTCTTTGGTACGGCTGAGAGTAAAGAAAGTAAGATCTCTCTCTCTCTCTCGAAATGCTCTCACATGGCCACGTGTATACAACCACTACCACAGAAGTCCTACTCATTGCCTTCTCTCATCGATGGTGTTGTTAACGAAATTGAGAAGACGAAATGCAAATGTGTGGCGCTTTAACCGGGTTGGTCAACATGGAGAGTTCACCTAGGGGAGTTAGAAAACCTTGATTACATACAAATGCTGCACATGGATTCTGGGATCCTGAAGAACAAATGGTGTATGAAGCAATCGTCGGTCACCGGTTATCATGGGACTGCATCTCTACTACCTTGTAAATCAGAACTTTGAGTCACAGACTCGGAGTGTGGCCCCATAAGGAAACCGCCTGCTTCGGTTTGGGCACCTGGGCAGTACTCTAGACCTCACACAAATCGGATGACTTACGTGGCGCAAATCTATTTGGTGCCACTTTGTACCAATGTTTATATGTTTAAATAAATAAAATATAAATGGTGTTTAGTAACTTACAGTAAAATATTATGAATCTAATAAGAACTTTGAAGATTACATTTTTAAAGTATATCTTTCATGTATTTTAGTCTAATAGATGATTGCCTCCCTGGTACAATATGACCTCTTTATTTTGCTTAGTATTTTTAAGCATAAAAGTTGTATAGTATAGGGAGTTATTGTTATGTTAGATATCTGCTGATGACAACCTCAGCTGCTTTAACGTAGTACATGTGATGTTTAGCCACCAAACTATTGTTTTTATTATTATTTATTTAATCACATAAACATTGGCAACGGAAAAAAAAGATGCAGTTCCACGGTAGCCGGTGACCAACGATTGGTTCATACGTCATTTGTTCTTTCAGGATCCTAGAATCCATGTCCACCATTGGTTTTGAATCAGGGTTTTCCAACTACCCTAGGTGGATTCTCCGTGTCCACCAACCCGATTAAAGCGCCGGACATTCGCATTTCGTCCTCTCGATTTCGTAAACAACACCGTCGATGAGAGAAGGCAGTGAGTATACATGTGGCCATGTGAAAGCATTTTGAAAGAGAGAGATTTGACTTTCTCCGTTCCCAGCCGTACCAGGGCATTTGGGGGCAGTAGTAGTTCTATACCAGGTTGAAGTAACTATCCATCGCTTCTTAGTTTCCAATCATTGTCTAATTAACATCAATCCTCCATATAACTTTCTTTTTAACTATTTCATCTGAAATCAAAATTCATGAAACCAATGAAGTTTGCCTTCAGAAGAACCTTCATTAAGTTGTAAATGGAATTTTGAACTATATATGTTCGTATATTGTTTAATTTCTTATTTCGTTTTCTTGCCTTACTTTCTTTACATCTAGATGAATAGACATTTAACAAAACAAATTAATGAAGATCTAAATGTTCAACATAATGAATGCAATGAAACATGAACAACTTTACTTTCTCATTTTTAAAAAAAAAATTTTGTTCTTTTAAATATTAGAATGAATAATTTCCCAAGTGCTCAAAATTATGCAATACAATGATCAATATCGATATGTGGTTGTGTGTGTGTGTGTACGTGTGTAATATCTCTCTCTATATATATGCATATATATGCATATCTATTAGAACGATTCTGTTGATGTATTTCTTTTTGTACTGTCTCTCCCTCTCGTACCATCTCCATCATCACCCCTATCCCCATCATCATCATCATCATCCCCATCCCCATCAACATGTGAAATAAAATCATGAATACTTGGTAAAAAGAAAACAACAAAATCTCAGATATCGACTATCATTTACATTCATTCTTTATTGTCAATTTTTTTTATGAAGATGTTTTATTTTTAACAGTGGAATCATTCAATGATCTTTTGTTTTGTATCTATGTGTGTGTATGCGTGTGTATGCGTGTGTGTGTGTGTGTGTGTTTGTTTGTTTATGTGAATATATTGACATCTGTTTTTAAAACAAAAAAAATTTTTTTCTCTTTTTGATAGTAACACTGATTACGTAATTTTCTACTACTACTATTATTCTTATTATTATTAACCCGATCTCGTTTTGTTCTATTTTGTGACTGTATTATTATTATTATTTTTTTGTTTCTCATACTGAATTAGATTAGATTTGTCTTTTTGTTTTTCTATTACATAACATGAATTTGACAAAGAGAAAAAAACAAGAAAAACAAACAAGTAAACAAAAGAAAATGGTAGAGAGAAAAATGACTACCTTCATTGTGTTTTTTTATTCTCGGTTCATATTTCTAAAATGTTCACTTGTTTATATGTTTCACTTTTTTCTGCTTCTTTTTCTTTTTTTCTTTTTCATGGTGTCTTATTTTCTCTCACACAGAGTTTGTTGTTACGTTTTCTTTCTGTTTTTTTTTCTTTTTCACAGTGGCTTATTTTCTCTCACATGGATTGTTGTTCCGTTTTTCTCTTTTTTTTCTTTTTCACAGTGGCTTATCTTCTCTCACATAGATTGTCATTTCGTTTTCTTTCTGCTTTTTCCCTCTTTTTTTCTTTTTCACAGTGGTTTATCTTCTCTCACATAGATTGTTCTTCCGTTTTTTTCTTTGGTATGTTTTACCTTTACACTATAATTGTTATAATCATTATAAATTCTCTTTATAAAATATGGAATTAGATCATGTTGACAAGCAGGTAAGCAAATGTTTGTTTATTTTTTTTAGACAAATAAATGAGTTTTGTTTGTTGTCTGTTGGTTACTGTTTAAATGGTGATCTTTTCTCTGTGTGTATTTCAATAGATCATAGTTTATACCTTTTAAACAAACGTAATAATGTTAAGTATGTAATAATGTGTGAATATTACTGATGATATTATGTCTATTCTAACAAGAGATACTAGACTTTAATTCAGGTTAGGATCTGAAAAGTTGGAAAAATGAACATTTCCCAAATACAATCAAAATGATCTTGATTGTCTAGTCATAGTATTCTGACATTAGACAATGAGTTTTAAGCGTTCTTTAAACCCTGAGCTGAGCTATTTCATTTACTAACTTACATTTTCAGTCGAGCCCCTCCAACGATGGCTAACGGTAATATGGTCTATTTGAATCTATTGATTATTCGATTGTGGAGGTTGCCACGTTAGATAGTGTTTCTCCTTATGATTAAAGTTAGTGTTTGCGAGAAATAAATGGTTATCTGAGCATAGTTGTGTTATATTTAGAGCTTATATTCCTGATATACCGCGTATAACTTGAGCACTAGAACGTTAGAACCCTTCCAATCGCAACGAGAAGACAGAAAACTAGTGAATGGAATGTTATTCCAGAGGGTATCGACGACAAGTCTAGTCAAAAATACACTCGCATATATACAGATTGTACACACACTTTGATTAATAATTAGGATGAAATCACAAATATAAAAAATACTCCGTTATTACGAATCATATGCTGAGCATAGTTCATGTCAACTTAATACAACAATATCGTATGTTATACAGAATAAAAGATCACATTGGATAACAAGACAAATACTACATTGAGTAATTATGATATTGGATTAGAAAACGGAAGTAATGTAGAAAAAACTTCATAATTATTCAGTCAATCGGATCTTGACTTTACTTTCCATCATATCAAGTTGTAACAGACGGTCGCTATTATCTGTTTGCAACACCGTAAGATCCTTACTTACTTACTTACTTACTTACGCCTGTTACTCTCAATGGAGCATAGGCCCCCGACCAGCATTCTCCAACCCACTCTGTCCTCCGCCTTCTTTTCTAGTTCCATCTAATTCTTGTTCATTTTTCTCATGTCTATCTCCATTTCTCGGCGTAATGTGTTCTTTGGTCTTCCTCTTTTCCTTTGACCTCGACGATTCCATATGAGGGCTTGTCTTGTGATGCAGTTGGGTGCTTTCCTCAATGTGTGTCCTATCCACTTCCAGTGCTTCTTCTTGATTTCTTCCTCCACTGGGATCTGCTTTGTTCGGCCAATGGATCTGAAGTATTTTGCGTAGACAATTGTTAATAAACACCTGTATTTTCTGGATGATGGCTTTTGTAGTTCTCCAGGTTTCTGCCCCATACAGTAGAACTGTCTTGACATTTGTATTGAAAATCCTGACCTTGGTGTTGGTTGACAGTTGCTTTGAGCTCCAGATGTTCCTCAGTTGTAAATATGCTGCTCTTGCTTTGCCGATCCGCACCTTCACATCTGCATCAGATCCACCCTGTTCGTCAATGATGCTGCCCAAATACGTAAAGGTTTTTACATCTTCCAAATCTTCCCCGTCAATTGTGATTGGATTGGTGCATGCAGTGTTGTATCGGAGAATCATGCTTTTCCCTTTTGTATATTGAGACCTATTGCTGCTGAGGCTGCTGCCACACTGTTTGTCTTCTCCTGCATTTGTTGTTGCGTTTGGGATAGAAATGCCAGATCGTCTGCGAAGTCAAGATCATCCAACTGCATCTTAGATGTCCATTGTATCCCGCGCTTTCTTTCAGACGTTGACGTCTTCATGATCCAGTCGATCACCAGGAGAAAGAGAAAGGGTGAGTGTAAGCAACCTTGCCTAACACCGGTCTTCACTTTGAACGACTTTGTCAACTGTCCTCTATGCACGATTTTGCAGTGTAATCCATCATATGAGTTCTGTTTGATATTGACTATCTTCTGAGGCACGCCGTAGTGTCGAAGAAGTTTCCATAGTGTTGTTCTGTCCACGCTATACCGTAAGATCCCCCCAAAGTCAATTCGGTTTGGTTTAGTTTACCTACTTAAGCATTAAAATCACCTGCCACTATTACTACATCAGAGAGTTTAACTTTTTGAAGGAGGTTGGGTGGCTCTCTATAAAATCCATCTTTAGCTTAGTCTGAGCTGCAATCAGTGGGAGTGTAGGTCGAAACAACGAGAAGGCAAGGTCGTATGTCCCTAACTTTTCGAGTTCATATTGTCCCGTTTAGTCGAGCAGCTCATATGTGACTGAATATAGGTATCCAATCGAAAAAGGATTGTTATATCTCAAAAATTATTGCTATATCAACAGTAGCGAGGCTGCGTAAATTAGCTGTGGGCGTCCTCAGATATATGAAGGGTAAATCTTGGCAGTTATTTATATTGACAAAATGAGGTCAAATGAATGACTATACTTGAAACCTGTATGCACGTTTCGGACATGCAGTATTCATCGATGGCGTAAGACTTTAAAATCCTAATTAAAGAAACCTGTTTTCCTAACCGACTCGAGGTTCGGACATTAAAAGCTCCAAAATGTAGTCAAGAGTCTGGTTTTAGGAGGCTAGGACCTAAAAAGAAAGCTAATTTAGTGGTGGTCTAAGCGACCTGGGAGCATGAATACAAAGCTCAATGCACAACTAATAGAGGCCGGTCACGCACAACCTTTATGGGGAAAGAAATCTGTGGGTAATGTGTGGTCCGACATTTTTACAGTCAACCTTTTCTAATCCCTTCCATCACCATTGCAGATACTGGTTGTCTGATGGATCACTCAACTACTGTCTCACCTCTCGACATCCGGCGGCACGACTTCGCCCTCGGGTCTCAAGTTGCTGCTTTTGATCTCACTGTTTTCCAAACAACCTGCTTGGCATGGTATGATCTAAAGGATAATATGTTCCAGCAAATTTTGCTCGAATAAATCACCGAAACAGGCAAACACGAATACCACGTCTAGGTAGCAGATGCAGTCGCGTTATTTGTTTTTGTTCATGACTAGTAGTGTCGCTGTTTCATCGCAAATCATTCAAAGGATTTACTTTAGTGAATCAGTTTTGTAACAAGTCGTCACTTGACCACACTCCTTAACACCAATTAATTTATCCATATTCGTTTTTTTTCATTTGGAAAGTCGGAAACTAGTTTATAAAATTATAAAAGACTACTTTTCAGCATACATATAATTATTATCATTACATACAACTTCCTGATTCAGGTCACTTTGTTTTCAGTGAGCATACAGTATAGAATACTAGTTAATTAATACTTAGTTGCATTTGTACCCTGTCAATTTAAATAGAATGAAAACATGAATAACAATGAAAGTTCCTAACATTGATCCATTCATGATATCAATCTAAACTAAACAATCTCCACAACCCTATACTGATAATAATCATGTGGTCACTAATGACTAGATTCAAGCTGGATTTCCTGAAGTTCTAGTGAGAAGCAGTGACAAGTGGAGTCCAACCATGTTTGTTATGAAGCAGTAACTCACTGAAGACAGTGATGGATGGTCGCGCAATATCGTGGATTGGTTGAATTTAAATGTTAACACCGTCGGGTCCCGTCTAAGTTGTCTAGAGGTTAAACGTTCGTGTGCCAGAATGAAGGTGCCGATTTCGAGTCCTACATGCGGGGTCGTGAATGCATACTGTTGGGGAGTCCGATAATGGGACGAAACGGTCGTCTAGTGCCTTCAGTTTTTCCATGGTGGTCTAGCTTAGATCGACTCAACTATTTACATTTCATGTTATTACATTTTGAAATTTAAACCGGTAATGTTACCTAAAAAAGACTGAAAACTGCATAACCATAATAGTCATGCGAATTTCGAACTTTCCACATACAGCAATTTCACGTTTTCTTATCAGTTGCATACAACCCAAGTTCAGAATTATGAATATTTGTATAGAGAGTGCTGGTGGGCGGCCTATGCTCCTCCACGAAGAGTAACAGGCGTAAGTATGATGAATATAAAGTGAATGGAAATAATTTAATAAAAATAATTGACAGACAAAATATATCAATCTTGTTCCATTTTACAAGGACATTCAGCGTCAAATGTTTCCGATTTGACCTACATATACAGAATGAGAATGTGATAAGCCTTTCCCTGCCATAGTGTTCGAAGGCTCATCTAATAACCTTTATTGATCCTAAACTTTTTTTTCCTTAACCCTGTCCCCCAACTTTGTTATTTCCTTATTATTCTTTCATCTTCTGATATTAATCTGTTACATAATCATATGAATGTTCAAATCTTTATTTATTTTATCATGTTGAGTGATTAATCAATCCCTTTTTCTAATTTTATTATCTTTTCATAACCTCTAAATTACTACCTCCTAACAATGTAAATATTCACCGATTCTAACCATGTTTATTCGTACACTTCATATCCCTATTCTTCTTCTTCTTCTTCTTCTTCTTCTTCTTCTTCTTCTTCTTCTTCTTCTTCTGATTACTAGGATTTTGGTTACGTCTGGAACATTTATCTAAATGATTATGTTATAACTTGTGACCCTTGTGCCCTATTTAATATATCACACGATACGATCGTCAATTAGAGTCATCGGACCAATGACATATAAACCAGTACGAATAGCCTAGAGTTCTTATTAGTCCTTTGAAATAGTAGTTTCTCTCTTAACTCAGTCAATTCAGTCCAGAACGCCAATAACAGCTTCCACTCCATGAATTCTAAATTTCAATTCTATTTGGTGTGTATACCAGTCAAACAGACCACATCACATCACGAAATAGGAAATAACATTTATACAAGATTAAGCCAAAAGGTGGCTGTGATTGTGAGGAACTATGACTAATAGATTGAGAATAACTTGAGAATAGTTAATCATATGACAGTAACTGATAAGTCAAATGAAAGCTTATAATAAAAGGAATATAATTATATATAGCTTAGTTTGTTAATATTTATACAACAAGAATAAATGTATAATATCAGTCCGTAAATAGTCCTCAAAAGTTACA